TGCAAAGCATACTTATTTCTTCCTATACTAAAAGCAGTATTAATATCACATGAATCCTCAAAGTGCACATGACTCACCAAACTTGTCATTATTGTCCAATGTTATTTTCAGATGTGAAGAAGGTGATTGCAGGTCAGACTATAGGAGGCATTTTCTATGTTGTGTTCAGTGGGCAGCCATTACTGATCCTACTTACTACAGCACCTCTTGCATTGTACATAAAGAGTAAGTCAATAGGATGTGTGAGTTCATGTTTATTCTGGGTATGCACATGTGCACATTTGTAAGTGTGTATTATACCTTATGTCACATATTATGCAGGATGTGACAGCTTCAAAGATCTCCAGAACAGACGCAAATAGAGTGGCACTAGACAAATAAGTTTGAGTCTGCTTGCCCGTGTCTGAACATGCACACCTCTCAGCTTTTATATGCAGTTAAGGCATGCAGAATATTACTGTCTCTAGATAATTTTCAGAAATATGAGAGAATATCCCTGAGAAAACATACTTTATGTGCCTGTCAAATGTTCATATTACTAAGCTACCTCATATGTGCTACAGAACTATGCTTCCTACTCTGAGGTGCTTAATCTCAAAATACACAATTCTTTTAGTAAATTTATATATACCACAACATGATGCATCAAATCACATATATAAAATGTTTTTATTAGAGAGTCTGAAAGGTTAAACCTATTGTATCTCATAATTTAACTACAAAGGTTGCATATACAAGTATATTTATATTTATAAAAATGAATGGTACATGCTAATGTATCAATTTGTATTAACAGGTCTTGTACCTGTGATCCCATAATTCGCAAAACTCACTAAATAAAATATATTTAATTTAAATGTAAAATTACAGATATTCTATACTTCTCTTTCAGTTATTCACATTATATGTGAAGATTTTGACTTGGACTTCTTTGCTATGTATTGCTGTGTTGGGCTATGGAACAGTTTATTTTTGGTCACATATGCATTATTTGATGTGTCTCGCATTATGCATTGGTCTACAAGGTCAACTGAAGAGATCTTTGCACTTTTTATTTCAATTGCCTTTTGTGTAGATGCATCAAGAGATACAATCAAAAGTAAGTACACAGAATGTTTGAGTTATTAGCTGAAGTTAAAATGTTATATTACTTGCCAAAGTGGCACATAGAGTAATTATATTTGAGTGTAGAATTTTGCTCATGATTAATGACCAATATTTTATTTGATTAGCCTTAATGTACACTTTAAATGAAAAAACAATATCAAATGTACAGCCTAAGTTCAGTCAAATTATGTATTGTCAAATTTCTAAAAATATACTCACTTCATACAAGAACTGTGTTCATCACATTAGATATGAGATATTATCTGACTTAGATCTCTCCTCTATATCCCATATATTTTCTCAGTTTTATGCATACTTAGTGAGGTATATATAAATGTCTCTTATTGACTTCAGAAATACAAGACACAAAATAAAAATAATATTTTGAAATTCTATAACATTGTAGTTATTAATGTTTCACAATAGCTTCATTTATCAGTCTCTCCATACCATTGCTTAAATTTATTCTACATAAGCTATAGGTGTAGTCATAAATGATTTTCTTTTTCCAGATTTCAAAGAGTATTACTATTCACCAGCATGTAAAGGAAATGTATCAACAGAAAGATTCAATACCACTGCTTCAACTTTGTCCATGTCTTGCAGCCGAGAAAGTAGCATTCTGTTTCTATTGCTGATGCTTGGAACATTATGGCTGAGTGTCTCAATCTACAACTTTAACAAGACGTTAGTACAGACACCGTCTGTTGCCACTCTCAAGGTTCTAATCAGTATGGAGTTTCTTGAATCTGTAGATGCATACTCTATGATATATTAGTATTACTTTTAACAGTGGCAGCTTTCGAGTGAATGGTGTACATTTTGTTTTTTGTAAATGTTTCAGCCCTTACCTGCAAGCCAGTAAGCGAGAAGCTTTGGCTGACTATTCTCTTCCTATGGCTGTTATCACTGTCAGCTTTATTGGATCTTACTTCTTCAGTGATGTAGAATGTAAGTAGTTTGCTAACTAGTCACAGAGCCCTATTTATCATTTATACAATTGTGGCCAATATTCTGGGTATTCTCTTCATATTTCATTGATTTCACACTGTATTTCTATGTTCAGTTATAAAATTAGTTTAAAAATTGTTGTTTCTAATCCAAGAGTCCAGCAAATAGCAGTCACATCCACTTTCACCACGTTCAGACAATCGTGAGTTTCCACTGAGATCTAGCCAGTGAAGTTTACACATAGGTGCCAGCTGCTGAGGTAATATCCTCTTCACGTCATTTCCAGATACATTGAGCTCCGAGAGATTGGGGAGCATCTTCAGAGGAGGAAGTTCTTTTAGATAACAATTAGCTAGGGTCAGTGACTCCAGACTCTCACTGACAGGAGCACCTACAAAACCACCTCCATTAATCAATGGGTTTCCATCCAAAACTATCTTCCGGATCTTCCATCAGTATTGTTGTTGATGGCAAATTTATTTTCCTGTTGTATTGTTTTGTTGCGTAGGTGAAGATATAAAAGACATAGCATGACTATGATGATGATGGCTGCCAATATGATACCAATTAAATACCAGGTCTTGCGGACTTTAGCTTCCTGGGCTTTGGCTGCAGCGCGGGACTTACAAGTGTCATATATCTCCTCAGCCTCAGTCATGTTTCCGCAGTGTGAAAAGTCTGGGGACAAACAGTACAAACAGGTCTAAATTAACTCCTCAATATATAAGAAAGGAAAGGTGAACTCCGATTTGGAGTAAATATTTTCCAAACGCTTTTTTAGGGGAAAGGTGAACTCCGATTTGGAGTAAACATTTTCCGAACGCTTTTTTAGAATTCTGCAACAGACAGGACAATGGGAATTCACATTAATGTAAATTTTCTATATAATGTACAGAAATAGTTAATGGTGTTGAAGTTTCTTTGATATCTATAAAATTGACAGAACTTAACCAGACAAAATCTAATCACACTGACAAAACAGACTTTGTACCTTATGAGCAAGGATAGGACTCTGCCAATTTTATTACTGACATCGAGCCAGAATGTAGGAAGAGGGGCTTCTCTCCAATAACATGCTTTTAATGTAGAATGTCATGACAAAACATTACAGTTTCTTTAACACTGACCTCCAAAACTAAAAAAAATAAGATTTGGGTGGATGGAAGGGACAATATCAAGTGAAAATTCAGTAACAGGGTTCTGAAGATGGAATTCTCGACCTTCAGAACCCAAAAATGAAACAAATGATAATATATAACAGTGCAAATTATATCTCCCAAAGAGTTGACAGTTTATAAGTTAACTGGTGCTCAGCACTAGTTTAGCGATGAATCCACCACTACGTAAGAAGTCTGCTTGCTCTACAGAGCTCAGAAGAAAGACAAAGTGGACGTCATGTGAATAGTCTTACCATATTTGTCTGATTCGCAGTTTAATTTGTAGCCTCTCTGTAAAATTATATTTTTGTTTCTAATCCAAGAGTCCAGCAAATAGCAGTCACATCCACTTTCACCTCGTTCAGACAATCGTGAGTTTCCACTGAGATCTAGCCAGTGAAGTTTACACATAGGTGCCAGCTGCTGAGGTAATATCCTCTTCACGTCATTTCCAGATACATTGAGCTCCGAGAGATTGGGGAGCATCTTCAGAGGAGGAAGTTCTTTTAGATAACAATTAGCTAGGGTCAGTGACTCCAGACTCTCACTGACAGGAGCACCTACAAAACCACCTTCACTAATCAATCGGTTGCCATCCAAAAATATCTTCCTGATCTTTGGTAGCCGAAGAACTCCAGAAGGAATGCTGTACAATACATTATGTGACAGACGGATGACTTCTAGGTCTTGCAAAGGGTCAAATGTTTCATTCTCTACATAGGAGATCTTGTTATCATCCAAGTAGAGATGTTATCATCCAAGTAGAGAAACTTAATGACGTATTAGCGAGCGAACGAGTCCTTATACAGATCTCGTATCTTGTTGTCTGAATCGCTTCAGCTCTCTTCGCAGGACAAGTCTAATTTTCACTGATGCCATACATGAAAGATGTTGAGGTAAGTAGAGTTCAGTTTCATGGCAGTGCATCTCATATGTAGTACCATGGAAAGTGTTCACACAACATTGTTTCTCAAATTTGATGTTTGAACATTATCAGACTCATGTAGCTCTTTGACTCCAAAGATTCTTATAAAATTGTATTGTTTTATTGTGTCAGATGGTGACACAGTTTATTACATGTACACTCTTGCTTATGTCCACAACAAAATGCATGAATATATTACACTACAGCCTCATTAGCATGGTCATGAAAATAAATTTAGAATTTTTTCTGCTACAGTGGAGCGATTTCAATACAGTGAGAGACCTGTGTTCAACATTTCACAACTCCAGACATTGTCAGCCAAAACTATATTTGGTTCAGGGGTTCTTGGCTTCTCTCTGTCTGTCCTCTTCTTCATGGATCAAAATATCACCAGTGCCATGGTCAACAACCCCTGTAACAAGTAAGTGCTTAAAATTAGAATCTATCAATATCAGGTCTACTAATGTGTAATCAGTTCTCAGATATTTTTAAGAAATAATGCTTTATAAATTGTATGTAACAATATTTAAGAGAACATATTTCTTCCAAGTATCTATGTATATAACTATTTGGTAAATTTTTCAACCATCCATTGTTTTTCTCTCCCTTTTTTTCTGTCCCCTTCATTACATCCCTAGTTACTGAAGAATGCGTGTCTGTGTTGATTTTATCATTCCATTTATTAATTCATGTAGAGGTATATGTTTTTATTTATGCAGTCTTCAAAAGAGCTCTTCTGATTTGCACACTTCTGGAGCAAATGAGAGAACAAAAAATATGCAATAAGTTTACTGAGTGGTTAAATGCTATGAACCAACAAGTGATTCATTACAAAATTCTTTCAAAAACATGGTGTTTATAAGAGGATGCATATATCAGATATACTTACTATCATCTTAACAATACTTTCAGGCTTAAGAAGGGACCAGCTTATCATTTGGATCTGTTTGTGGTGGCAATTCTAAATGCTGCTTTGTCCATCTTTGGTTTACCATGGATGCATGCCACCTTGCCCCATTCTCCCCTTCATGTGCGAGGTCTTGCTGATGTAGAAGAACGTGTGGATCAAGGACATGTGTATGAAATGTAAGTTTATATGGGATATTGCTGTGTCCCCAATCCCATTTACAGTCTCTCAAATAATGCCTCCATTTGAAATTCACAGACCAGTTCCAATTTACAATAAACTGTCTCAGGTTTTATCATGATTTCTCTTCCCATGTAATGAAATGACACTTTTCAAGCACCATTCTTAAAATTAAATGTTACCATATAAATATACAGCAAAATAATGTATTTTCATATGAAAAGAGTTCACCTTTAAAATATTTTTGTATCATGTCATCCTGTAACGTTTATTACATGAATAAAGGTAAGCACCAGCAACTTCCAACACATTGATAGGTTATCATGAACATTTAATTTAAAAATTAAAATCATCGCCAACTATGCTGATTTTCAGGTTGTTGTTCCACTTGACCTTGCTAAACATATACTGGTCATGTACTGGCAGATTGTTTTCCTGTCATGTAATGATATTATTAACAACTCCTTCTATTTACAAGAAATACATGCGTGCCACGTCTACGTAATAAGTTTCTAGAAGATTGTAAGGTTGTCAAATATTTTTGTTATAAGTACACTGTATTTTATGGTATTACACATTTTTAGTGTTTAAAGAGCCATTTGAAAGCTGGCCATCAGCTAGCACCACTGGTATTTGAAAGGGTACACTAAAGGTAAAGATAAGACTTTTATCTTCATTATTTTTAATAATTACTGGTATTTTATTGTTACCTTAGACTCTGTTACAATTTATTCTGTTTCATTTCTTACAGAATTGTGAAAGTGAGAGAGACACGACTGACTGGGCTGTTTTCACACATCCTTATTGGTCTGTCTGTGTTCTTACTTCCATATCCATTGGCTTACATACCAACAGCAGTTCTGGATGGTTTATTTCTTTACATGGCAGTCACAGCTCTAAATGGCAACCAAATGTTTGATAGAATAACACTTCTCTTCATGGAACAGGTAAATTACAAAATAGTACTGTGAACTGTTAAGTTGTCAGTCTGCCTGCAGAATTTTTAATTATAGTCTCAATGTTTATAAGATCCACTACATGTTTTGACCTTAAATGGTCATCTTCAGGTGGTTCTCTTTAAGTGTTCAAAGCTAACAGATATGACTGCTCACTTGTATACATAGTTGAAATAGATAAAATTCACCTGGATTCATGTGATTGCTTTAAAATTATTCATAATAGGTATGTACCTGGATGCATTGGAAGTCTGACCTAGAATAGAAATATTTTCTCCTGGGTTTAAAAGCATATCCTAAAATGAGAAATTATAAGTTATATGGCTGTTTCATAACATGTTGTTTAAAATATTAAAATTTTCAAGCTATCTATAAATTAAAATCCCTTCATGTTTTTAATCTTCAAGGTAGAATGAAGCTTTCTTGTTGCACTTTTATAGAATTTGTTGTTGTCGTAATAAGTTTTTTGCAGTATTTTGAAAGTCTAGGTTCTTATTGATTGGTGTTTTATCACATTCTTACATTATCATGTTGAAGGGATCCTGGGTTGACTATATCATTGGAGATATGTGACATTATTAGGACAGCTAAAATATGCTTCTTGTAGCAATAGGATTTTTAGTTAAGTAGAATGGCATATCAGACGTGATTTATCTGTAAATAGGATAATATGGATATTAAACTGAATTCTGCTGCTGACTTCACCACTAATACTGTGAAGTTTATACATCGCTCTAAAGCATGTGGATGAAAATTTAATCATTTGATAAGGTGAATAGTGATGTAAGTTCCTGATCATTAGCATCCAACCAGATAAGATGAGACTTGAGATTCTCACAGAGACTCGTATTCCTTGTAGAATCTCCTTTCTGGATATAGTTTAATGTTGAAAATTTCAATTTAGTTTTTGTTAGGGGAAGTTTACTGCCTCATCTTCAGGGACTTCATTAAAATAACTTGTGTGTGTGCCATTTAAATGCTAGTTACATATATATGCATTGTTTGAATAATTCTCTGACTGAGAATACCTCAACTGGCAGAAGGGATTCTGTGGGCTTCTTAGTCTACTCAGAAATATATCAGCATAGTAGATAAAATATGATAAAGTTTTTCCTAAAATTTCCAACATATTCTACTTACAATAACCTTATTGTGTGTCATTTGGCATTACACTATAGCTTCATGTAAAATATTTATTTTTCTCTTCTTTTAAGGCTGCATATCCTCCAAACCATTATATTCGCAGAGTACCACAGAGAAAAATACATGCATTTACAGCATGCCAAGTATTTCAGTTGATTGTGATGTGTGTATTTGGTTATGCTCCATTGGTGTATCTCAAGATGATATTCCCATTCATCATACTATTCCTTTTACCAGTAAGGTGAGAATTGTAATAAATTATGTAGTTCTCTAGACTAAAATAATTAAAAGAGTCCTTTAGTTGTTCCTGTTGTGTTGTGCGCAAATTCAATCTTCAGTGTGATTTGGATTATTTATCTGTCAAAGAAATGTTTCATCAAATGGGATTTGTATTGAATTATGTAATCATCTCTCAAACATCACATATCATAATCTTTGTAAACAAAAAAAAGGAGTAGGGAATTTATGTTTGTTCTAATCTTTGTATTGGCTTGCATGGGTGTCATAATAAATAACAGCACAAAAAATTTAAAAGTCAGATTGTTAGTGTTTTGGCAATCAGAGTGGAGGCAACCTTCTTTCTTCTTAGAACCATAGGATTTCAGTTATAACACAACATTTTATGAGCTTATTTATTTTATGGGTTGCCAGGTAAGTGCACCACATTAACAAAATTAAAGTTAGATTTTTTTAAATAAATAAATAAAAAAAAATTGTATAACTGAAAAATCTATATACATTTTAGTATAATATGTAATTTATTTTATCTTCTGTAGGCATCGGTTGGTACCAATGTTCATCGAAGACAAATATCTCGAAGCTCTTGATGGAGAGCATCAGTAACATCACACATCCACAAGGCCACTGCTGTTACTCAGATGTGTTTTGCTCTCCTTACTCATCTCATCAGAGAAACTAATATCAAATTATTACTAAATTTAATACTTTTCCATACATTTACAACTGTTACATGTTTAAAACTTAGAAAGAATGTTTCATCCAAATGACCTCAAACTGAGAATTAGATATATGAAAAGAATCCAGGACACAATGGCAGAAAGAGGAGTGGAAGAAGGACAGTGGATGGATAGAGAAAATGGAAAATGAGAATCTGAAGACATCAACAACATTAAGAAACCTATATATGTGTACAGGTATACTGGGTTTCTATATAGGAGAAAAAATAAGGAGTTGTAACATGGAAACACTATACACATAACATGTACATTACTACTTTTACAGTTTTGTTAAATTTGTATATCACTGTTGTTGAAGCAGTTATGGGCTTTTTTACCGTCTGTGCCTCCTTTTTCCCAAAAATTGAGATGTTTGTGCATTAATCATGGAAACATTGTGTATATACCAAATAATAATGCTTGGTTAAATAAAAACAAATGTTTTAAAATGGTTGGTTTTGAAAAGATGTTTAGTGCAGAGCATTATTTCCAATATGTTTTATTAGTCAGTTATGAACAATGATGTATGACATAAAAACACATTGTAAAATTAGAATAGAAGAATAAAAATATTTCAAAAAAGATTGTGTGTCTAAAGTAAAAACCAACTGACAGTTTATGTCAGTAGAAGTAACAATCTGTATGATTTTGTAGCTTTCAAGTCCTGTATTCTATATGTGTACATTTGAAAATAGTCCTTAACCTCTGTAAAACAGATTAAATTTGTAAAATACATTTCTCAAAAATGAAATATTATCTGTTTCATTCTGTTATTCCACCTACCACAACTGGAAAACAGCTGCACAATTTATCATATCAAGACCAGTAAGTGCATATTTTCAAATCGTAACATGAACCATTTCTCTGTCATTTCTGAATCTGAATGTTTCTATTAAAACCAAAAAAGAGAAATGTATGCCTTTGGCTTTCAGGGATGAGATGCGTCATATGTTGAAAGTTATCCAATGTTTTGACAAACATGGCAGTTACCATTTCTGGGGTGAATATGTTTTGGTTGGGAATTTTTGGAAGCTGTACCAGTAAAGCGTAGTCGTTTCTTTAAAACGTTGTGAACAGTTGTTTTTGAAACGCCTAACTCTACAGAACACTTCCGCACTGATTTCTTCGGGCTACACAGATAACTTGCCCACACAGCTTCAATGGTATCGTCAGACACTGATGGTCGTCCTGGACGTGACTGCTTCAGTAGGCTGCCCGTTTCTCTGAGTTGTTTGTCCCAACGGCGAATGTTATTTTCGTGTGGTGGTTCTTCATTAAACACACGACGGTATTCACGCCTAACAAGTGTAACTGACTCAAACTTAGCAAGCCACAAAACACATTGAACTTTCCTCTGCACAATAATCATGGCACTTGCGCTAGAACCTGTTTACGTATCGAAAAATTGGAGAGTTTCTCTTTATTTTTACGTTTATTTCATGTCTCTATCGTGCTTTGTTCCAAAACTATGACTGCCCCCTACCCCACCATTATTTTACGGACACACTGTATGTAGGACAGGCAGTAGATGGTGAGTGGGATATGATGGATTTGATTGCTGAATCAGAATAGTGGCCTGGTATTCAGTTGGTGTGAGAAATTACAAAAAATACTTTCTAATGGGCATGTGGTGAGAAAAAGAAGTGACAAAAGTTTGGTGACCCAATGAATCAGGAAGTTAGGTGACAAAGGGATTCCAGTGACAAATTGGATAGGATAATGGATAAATAGCTGCATGATGAGGTGAGGAGAGCAGCCCTTTTCAGGATCAAATGGTAGGGGAAGAGGTGTTGAAGGAAGTTTTTGGAGAAAGTTTTTTTAGAAGCCACGTGGGCAGGAGAAGAAGTGATGAAAATAGAGAAAATTCAGAACAGCAAAATTAAGGAAAAAGTGAAAGCACTACATAGCCAGACCAGCTACATCAGATGAGTTTATATTGTGAAATATACATATTTTAGATCTTTCATATTTTATACTGCCATGGAAACCTGAACTCTCATATATGAGACAATGCTACAAAAGTGATTATTTTGTAATGTGTCCAAAATTTATTGCAGTATGATAATTTGTAAATCACCATTGAGTGAGTGATAATTTTAAAATCTTTTTAAAACCTATTTAAGAAAAAACAGACCACAAATTGTCTACACAGTTTTGTTAATGTTATAGACACACCTCCCTTCAACCCTCACTCACTCACAGACACTCTGTCTCTGTCTCTCTCTCTCTCTCTCACACACACACACACACCCCTTATATTTTCGAATATGTAGACTATGAGAACCATGAGCTGTATCATAAACGTTCGGTCAACCACTTGTGCTCTCTTGTGGTGTCTGACCTGTACTTTGTTGTGAAGAAAACCAATGTCCAATGTCGACTTACATGTCTGTACGATATACAGTCACCGCGTTAGCATATGGCTCAATGGCATAGTATTAAGTGGAAGGTTGTAGTGAGTGTGTTGTAGTAGTACTACGTGTATATGATATAATTAAACTCGGAAAATACACTGTGGGGATACATGTTTTACATTTATTTTATTCTCCAAATAATAATGTCTCATAAACATTCACCCGGGCCAGCCCCTGACATCATTCATCCAGCACACTCTACAAAGAAGGTTGGTTATGTTTCAAAAATAAAGTGCTTTTAATAATTTCGTAATTAAGGTTTTGAGAATATTGACTTGTCATTGAAGTATGAGGGTCTTAGTGTTCGAGACTCATGGTGTGGTCTGTTATTAATGCGAGTTTTTATACAAAGTAGATATCTAATTACATGTTTAATACATTGCGATTTTTAATGATTTAAATACAGATAAGATTTGTTCGCCAAATTGATTGTCACTACTACTGATTCTACAGCAAAGCAATAATTCATTGAATTTTCCTTGATTATTTGTGTGGCACTCTGATTCATGAGTACTTAGCATCAAAATATGCATGTATGGTACTGGATTTTTATGCCCCAGAAACTAAGTACCAGGTTTCTATATCTGCATATGCATTGAGATTCTCACTGCCTGCGATTATTTTAAATATTCACATAAATTATAAAAGCAATGCAGGTGTGTGACATATGAAAGTATCAAAGAAGAAATTACAGAATAGAATGAAATGTAGGAAAATTTAACCATTTAAATGGGAAATACCAAAGAATTGGGAAATATTCCTATTTAAAAGTTGCATTCCCATATCTTTGTATAGAGTAGAAACTTGGACATGAACCAAGGCAAGATATTAGTAGACTAATGGCAGCAGAGATTAAATTTTTTAGAAGTACAGCAAGCAAATCGAAAGAGATGAGAAAAGGAGTTAAAAGATTACGCAGTATGTAAAGTTAAACACCTGTAAATTTGAATTAACAAGTAATAGGATGAAGTTGTATAAGAATGAATGAAGAGAGAATAATAAAAAAGGCTTTGATCATGAAAGTAAAATACCCAAGAGGGAGACCTAGTTCAAAATGGGAACAATAGGTTAGGAAATATATCAGAAGGAAGACTGTAGGAAGAAATTGAGGAGGAGGAAGAGTTATGGGAAGACTAGAGGTAAGTGTGGTGGCTTAGTTGGAAACATCTTAGGAAGAACAAGAATATTGCAGATGAAGAGAGATCATGAAGACTGTTCTCAGTAATATTGAGTATGTACCTGAAGAGTCTGAAACGTTTGTATCCTTAGTAGGATTTTAGGTTCTTACAGCAATGAGTACTGTCTTCTAGGTTGTATCATTATATAGTCTGGTGGAAGTTGACAAATGTTTCATGGGCCCTTACGGACTCCATCATGAGGTTGATGAGCTGCCTTGATGAAGAAGACAGAAAGGACCAGATAAGATTTGTTCGCCAAATTGATTGTCACTACTACTGATTCTACAGCAAAGCAATAATTCATTGAATTTTCCTTGATTATTTGTGTGGCACTCTGATTCATGAGTACTTAGCATCAAAATATGCATGTATGGTACTGGATTTTTATGCCCCAGAAACTAAGTACCAGGTTTCTATATCTGCATATGCATTGAGATTCTCACTGCCTGCGATTATTTTAAATATTCACATAAATTATAAAAGCAATGCAGGTGTGTGACATATGAAAGTATCAAAGAAGAAATTACAGAATAGAATGAAATGTAGGAAAATTTAACCATTTAAATGGGAAATACCAAAGAATTGGGAAATATTCCTATTTAAAAGTTGCATTCCCATATCTTTGTATAGAGTAGAAACTTGGACATGAACCAAGGCAAGATATTAGTAGACTAATGGCAGCAGAGATTAAATTTTTTAGAAGTACAGCAAGCAAATCGAAAGAGATGAGAAAAGGAGTTAAAAGATTACGCAGTATGTAAAGTTAAACACCTGTAAATTTGAATTAACAAGTAATAGGATGAAGTTGTATAAGAATGAATGAAGAGAGAATAATAAAAAAGGCTTTGATCATGAAAGTAAAATACCCAAGAGGGAGACCTAGTTCAAAATGGGAACAATAGGTTAGGAAATATATCAGAAGGAAGACTGTAGGAAGAAATTGAGGAGGAGGAAGAGTTATGGGAAGACTAGAGGTAAGTGTGGTGGCTTAGTTGGAAACATCTTAGGAAGAACAAGAATATTGCAGATGAAGAGAGATCATGAAGACTGTTCTCAGTAATATTGAGTATGTACCTGAAGAGTCTGAAACGTTTGTATCCTTAGTAGGATTTTAGGTTCTTACAGCAATGAGTACTGTCTTCTAGGTTGTATCATTATATAGTCTGGTGGAAGTTGACAAATGTTTCATGGGCCCTTACGGACTCCATCATGAGGTTGATGAGCTGCCTTGATGAAGAAGACAGAAAGGACCACTCAAACATTGGTAAACTTCTACCAGACTACATTGCACTACAACCCAGAAGGTATCCATCTTTGACATCCTCTGTCTTTCTGTTGTCACTCATAATCAGTTGTAACCATAACAGGGCCCTCAAAATAAAGTCAAATGCACTTTATGCTATGTGTTTCTCATGGTAAATTTCAAAGTTAAAGCCAGGACACCTGAAGGTTTTTAATTTCTTGAAGCCTATGTCTAGAATAATTCTAACCCTTTAGAGTCTTAAATAAAATCAGTTTCATACATTCTGAAAACTGTTTATTCAAATTAATCAGACACTAAGGGACATAACAAAGAAGCTTGTAAAAAAATAAAGATGTATGAATGTACAAAATACTTTCTCGGAAGTTTTTGCATGTAAAACATTTTAATTTCAAAATATGTAGACAAACACACATAGAATAGTAAAAGGTGATGATATTAAAAAGGGCATATATCATTACACTCAGACACATGAAATAGTCAGCTTCATGGTTAGTGCTTTCTTTATTAGAATGCACAGTGAGGAATGGCACACATTGGTTATATTGTTTATGTCTGTATTTGTAATTATTCTTCTGATTTCTGGCTTTCAAAAGTTCTTTTTAAGTTTCAGTGCCAGTAAAATGTATTACATTTACTTTAATCACAAACCAAGAGTATAATAATGTTAGTATTAAAAGAGTTGAAGTTACTGAAACTGACATACTGTTTTCATAGCACGAGTGGTTTCTTTATAAGCATATTTTAATAGTGGTGAATTGTATTTTAATTAATTAATAATTTACGAACTTAGTTTTAAATTTGTGTTCAAACTGTTGAAATTATGTCATATGTTTCGTAACTTTAATAGTTTGTTCGAAGAAGTAATTTGAATCCTGTGTAATTGTAACAGTTGTCTGTTATTATATAATTTATCCAACTATTTGCAAATATTGAGCTTTAAGACGGCAATTGAATTATTGAAGTGTATTACGTAGTTCAAGCATGTCTGAGCATTTTATGATATTATAGGAGTCAAATTTGTCATTATCAAGTTTTCATATTGAAAACAATCAAAAACCAAAAATTATAGGAAAAAGGATAATTTCCAGATTGCTGGTCATCTGTGCCTGTTTTAATTATGCGTGAAATGTAAAAGGAGTCACTGGTTAGACAGCCACAGATAAAGATTAATGTTAAGGTATACCAAAAGGGAGTTCATAAGCAAATAACTGAAGTGATTGAGTGTATGTTGAAAGTAATTTTTGGTAGTATTCTTAATATCTGTTTCTTTTAATTCAGGCTCGGCGGACTCCAAAAGAACGTCGGCCACCAAAACTGAAACGTAGGAGCTACAATGCAAACAGAAGCCTATTTTCACAGGATGCAAATCTGATTTCATTTCAGAATAATGGAGACAGCTGTATCCTTCTTCAGATAGCCTCACAACCTTACATACTTTACTGTTTTTGAAGGTGGCTGGCTTCTGGAATGTTGCACCATGTAGTCAGGTAAATATTGACTAACATTTCTGAGATGCTAACTGCCTCCAACATCGATTGCTTTCTGTGATGTTGTGACATATAGTCTCACAGAAATTGATTGATGTTTCAGAGGTGCATACTGCCTCTGTCATGAGGACACTGAGGTTCAATTTCTGTGGCACAAAATACCAGAAGGGGCAGTAAACTCCTCTGAAATGTCAGTCAGTATCTCTCAGACTGCATGGTTCAGCATTCCAGAAGAGAGCCATCTTCATATTCACCACCACAAGAATTTCAGATTTCAGTGTTCCTTGTGATACAGAATTGATGCTAGTGGTACTTAACAGTAGGATCATACAATGATGTACAGTAATAGATTTTTGAATAACAGACAGCTTTGATATAATTCTGTATAAAATGTAAAACAACAACATGGGGTTGCATGAAAGTAAAAGAAATTGACTTGACCAAGATTAAATCCCATGACCATGCGTGTAAGTCCAGTGTGCTGCTACAGAGGTAACTTGAGTTGTGGTACATTGTTATTGATGTACAGAACAATCAGAAGACACGAAGAATGCATGATCGTTATAGAAAGCAATTGGAATTCTCGAAGCAAGGTTACTGACGTTATCTTTTAAGAAAACTGTTCTTTAAAAGTCTAAAAATTAAGTAATATGAAGATAAGTAGTTAAAAATCAATTAATGAATTATACATTGAAGAGATCCACATATGTTTTTACATTATCTGCAATCTGTTTCTCTGCTTATTTGGCAGTACTGATGGAAATTATTCCATAGTGTATGTGGCATGTGGTATTTTTTATTTCAGCTAGGATCATTCAGAAATAGGAATTTGCAAAGAATGTGTGTGGAAACTGTGTATTCCAGTAAAAATTTCACATTTCCGGTCTTGTTGTCTAATGTTGTGCTGTAATTGTGATATGTACTTTAGCAACATCATATTGACTTTGTGTACCTCTGTTTATAACTTCCATCAACATCTTTGTTTGTACACTGCAGTTATTGTTCATATGTAGAGCCTTAATTCTGACCGCAGCTCCTATATTAAGCAAGCTCCACAAACACACTCATCATCTTACATACTTTAGAGAGCAGTTTGAAGACGTTCATCAGATTGGGGAAGGTTCGTTTGGAGAAGTGTTCAGAGCGCGATCTAAAGAAACAGGTTTATATTATGCAGTGAAGAAGTCAAAGGAACGTTTTCGTAGTGACTGTGACAGGTGAGTAAACATTTAAACAAAGGATATTAGAGAACTCTTGCAGGTAACAATTTCATGTATCATGTAATTTAGGATTATGATGATTAATGAACAACTACTGAGATCACCTGGTATTAGGATTAGTACATAGTTATTTTCTGGCAGGATATTTAAAATTTAGGCTTTCTATATGAAAAATGTAGATATATAAAAAACCAGTAATGGTAAAATTATTAAATTTTAAACTAAATTAAACAGGGAGTATGAAGTTTCATTTTTGAGAACTCCAATTTTTTTATTAGAAGGATATGGATTTACATTTCCTTCCTTACTGTTCTGCCATGGGTTCTCTGCTTCCAAGTAAAGATTCGTGTTTATTGGATTTTCACAGCTCTACCTTCATGAAGTACTTTAGGATACTTTCTTTGTCCACACACAAAAACTTCTCATATTTGGCACTTCACACTTGTCTCTTAACCACATGAGCTAAACACACATGGAACCACAATCATTATGATTCAACAGGTCAACACTTGGTGAGATTTGAGGTTCTCATCGCAGCAAGTATGAATATGGCTGTCTCCTGGGTTGTTGTGCCATGTAATCTGGTAGATGTTTACTGACATTCATAGGACTCAAGCACTACCAACTTACTGTTTAAGGGTCCTGTCAGTATGATGACAACCATTCACCTGAAGGTGGCAGTAGAGTTTACTCCTGAAATGTTATGTGTATCAGATACACCTCAGACAACTGATAATATTCGATGTAATGTTGGTATAATTGTCTTAATCTTGTTCTTCCTCTTTTTTCCCTCTGAGTAACATCGCTATCACTTTTCCAGGAATATTTTAGTTTCTTCTGCCTGGAGTTTCTTGGTTGAAGCTGTGATTGAGAATGACTGACAATACACTGAGAAAGATTCAGTTTCATATTACTGAGACACACAGGTGAACAGCATTCTCTATTATGTGAATTTCCCGAAATAAAAGCTGTGAATGTATCTCATTGTCCTCTGCAAAACACAAGCATGCTGTGTTTTGTATTATCATTTCCAGAGAAATAAAATTTTTGCCAATGCATGCTTTTGTCCAATACCCAGATTGTGTTAACTGTATTTGACCTCCAACATGCCAGCCGCTCAGTTATGCTTCTGGGGTGGAACTTTCGTAACTCAACTTTTCAGATTGGGTTAATGTATTAGCCCATATGCATCTGAAAGTTCAATGCTACTGCAGTCTCTGTTCAAAAAAAAATTAAGCATGTAGGATTTGAGGTTCTCATGGTGGTGAGTACACAGATGGCTGGCTTGTGGCGCCATGTAGTTTGTTAGACTTTTATCAATGTTTCAGAGATTCTTGCTGCCTCCATCATCAGGACTCATCACCCTGATGATGGTGGCAGCAGGGACCTCTAAAATGTTGATAAACTTATACCATACTGCTTGGCGCTATAACCCAGAATACAGCTGTCTGCAAAGATTATCTCATGTCTCGGTGATTGTCCTTTGTTTTTCGAATTTCTTCTGTATTTCATTTCATCATGCTCTTTATCTTTTACTTTTCACCATTATCAATTATTGCTAAGTAACAGTAATAGCGATGGCCACGGTGGTCTAGCGGTTAGAACGCTGGCCTTGTAATCCTGGGGTCTCGGGTTTGATTCCCGGCGGTGCCCGAATTTATAACTTGTGTTGGGCAAGGCCTTGGTCTAGGCAACACGGAGTTTTCCTCCGGGGGCTTCCCCGGTTTCTCCGTGGCATCCCATTCACACACAGAAGAAGGCAATGGCAAACCACTTCTGGATCATCTGCCAAGAACGTATATGAACAGGTCCCAGTCCGAGAAAAGGATGGAAGTATCCTGTTCATATGGACCTGTCATCAGACAGAACACTAAATAATAAAACAGTAATAGCATATATGTTTAATGGTCTCAGTAATACTGAATCAAATGTAACGTAAAATTACCTCTAGTAACTTAGGAGGAATGTTAGAAAGAACATTACTGTTACAAATGGGAAAGAATTTAGATAAAGTTTCAAAGCATATGCACACTATTGTAATGGACCACTGGAATAAATAATCACGTTAGGAAATGTATCCTTAACTTTATTCTGGTTCAGTCACCAGAATGTAACCTTAGTGAATAGCAGGGAGATCCTCTGGCTGGGGAGTCTGTATGTGGGAATTCACTGGCCTTTAGGCCAGTGTGGATGGCTGCAGAATTTGCCACCTGCTTGCATTCAAACACACATGCATGCAGATCTTTGTGTAAAGTGCCTACACTGAGGTTTAACTCATGTTATCTCTTCAATTTTCCAGTTACAGATTTGTATGCAGTTATTATTTCTCCTTATGTGCTAGTGCTCCACTCATCACATCCTCATTGATTTTGTTTATCACTCTAATAATATTTGGTGAACAATAAAGTTCTGGAGCTCCACATTATGTACTTAAAATCGGCCTCTACTGACTGTCTTTTGTTGGATCACATATGATCTTTAGCTCCATTTTTTAAAATATCTTTAATCTGTGTTCTTCCCTTAGGGTCAGAGACAAAGTTTCACATCCATAACTACAGGCAAAGTTATAGTTTTTTATGTTTTAATGTTTACATTTTTAGATGGGAGGCAGGAAGACAACGGATTATGAACTGAATTGTAGGGTGTGTTCCCTAGTCTTAACTCAATTTCTTAATGAATGTAATATATATTTGTTTCTGTTACTAAATATTTGAACTCTAATGCATTTTTGAAGGATTTGATAGCCATCATATTACTATTTTATTCCAAATTCTATTGACAAGACATGATATTTTTATTTCCACTGTATTAACTAGACCAAATGTCTAATAGACCTTTTTCTTCATATGTGATTTTTCAGTATATTAACATCAGAAGCATCCCATTCACTTACAATTCATTAATGTTATAAGGAGGAAGATTATCAGCTTGCATCACGGTTCAGTATTGCCTGTGTCTACATAATTCACTGTGAATGTCTTGATAAGACAGGCTGGTTGAAAAAACTTATGAAGGCAACACATAATTTTTCTCCAGCTGGAAGTTATAAGATTAATGTATTGTTGCACATTTTCCTTGAAGACCAAGTAAAAACAATATAGTTGTTAAACTTAAAAGAAGAAACAAAGTTGACAAATGGATTCTTGTCACAGAAATAATTCCTTCCAACATTTTAATTAAAAATCATTTGCAATTGCAGAAGGTTGAAACTTGAAGAAGTTAGGAAACATGAACTGATTCCAAAGCATGATAATTGTGTCCAGTTCATTGGGGCATGGGAGGAGGATGACTATCTGTACATTCAGCTGGAACTGTGCAAAACAAGCTTGGAGGAATATACTGAAGTGAATCATGAAATTACACAAGACATGCTGTGGGACATTCTTCTTGATGTTTTATTGGTATGAATTTTAATTACTGAACTGTTTCAGACAAATCATTTTATAAAGAGACACTTTTCTGATGTATAAAGTTAAGCTTTCATGGGGACTGAAGTTGATGAAAGATTCCCAGGTTACAAGGCGCGTCAGGCGACTGAATGGTGAATAAACCATATCTTCTGCCATTTTGAGAACAATCTCTGCTCTTATCCTCAGGGATTTGTTACCCAGCAGCCCCAAGGATGAGAGCAGAGATTGTTCTCGAAACGGCAGAAGATATGGTTTATTCACCATTCGGCCGCCTGACGCGGCTTTTTCTGTGTATGCTTGTTGATCTAGGTACTGTGCGTATTGTATGAGTATATTTTCAATGTATCTTTCCTCTCAACAGGCTGTAAAGCATCTGCATGATCATAACTTGATTCACTTGGACATCAAACTGGAGAACATCTTGGTAGACCTGAATGGCCATTACAAACTTGGAGACTTTGGTTTGGTGGTTGACATGTCAAAGGTTTGTTCTTTCCATGAAGCAAGCTGTTAATTACTTAATAAAGGGTGATCCAGGAGTTGTATCTGATGTAATGTTACATTAAAATATGTGGATATAATACAGTAGAATGAATCCCATGTTTAAAATCACAGCAAAGAATTTGTAATAATTTAGTTGCATTGAACCTCCCAAATATGACATAGCATGCATAATTATGTACCATATATGTTGTAGCATGAGACATCTTCAGGGGAATCACAGTGACATGAACCAAACTATTCGGTTTGCATGAGTATATTCCTTCAATTTCTGTAACGTTACAGAAGTTACATGTTTTTTCCTATAAATTTCATTCTTCCATTCAATACATTGCACTAGTTAAAATTCTTTATATTAATAATTTATATTCCTATATGATTCTTGTAAGTAATATGTTATATATTTAGGTTTGTACTGTAATCATAGTTTCAGTCATCTCCATTTTTGTCTTAACCTTATCAACAATGACATTCCTTCCTAAGATGCTAAAATCATCAGCTTACTTTTGTTAAAATTATTATGTGTAATGGTTGTTTGGAGTGTCTTATATTTTGGTTTATAAAAACTTGTGCATCCTGCTTTCTTCTTTCTGTTTATTGTCGGTCTGCTAATTATTAATTACATGGTGCTTAAATGTTGCACTTTATGCAGAATTATCAAACCCATAGTCCACATACACAACTATGTTTGAGGTTGTTTCCTTTTCAGCATTTAGGAACCTCAGAACTGTTCTTAAATAATTGTGTTAATGTTTTAGGAAGACTTTGAAGATGCTGTAGAAGGTGATCCCAAATACCTTGCACCTGAACTAATGACAGGACATTTCACAAAGGCTGCTGATATATTCAGTCTAGGAATAACAATGTTAGAACTGGCATCTGACCTGGATTTGCCATCTCAAGGACCACTATGGCATGAATTAAGGAATGGAATATTTCCTGATGATCACATTAAACGTATGTAGTACTTAGAATTTATGTTTAAGTTGTAAAAGATATAAGTTCACTCCCTGAGTCAGGTATTCACATTGCAGACGTTTTAATTTTCAAAGTTCCTGCTTGTTATTTGAATTTACCATTGTCCCCTTGGTTACAATTGTACGATGGTTATGGTTACCTTTGTTGTGCTGGAGTAAAGTCACTTTCAGAAGTTAAAGTATTGAAAGGAGCACAGGATGAAGGAAAACAAGAAATAAAAAAGAATGAATCGGCGAAGAAAGAATATGAAATAAAGACTAGTATTTTCAAGTAAGTGTATAATGTTTGTTATGCAGAACTGTATAACATAACAATTTGAAGGCTCAGAACATTTAGACTGCCTAGTGCAACCTGTATGAAGTAATAGATACTCCTATGGTATTTAAACTTTATCAATAAAAAAATTGCAGTTTTACAGTCAAAACAAATGGATAATTTCATGTGGCTTTCAGTATTTATGTCTTTCTAATATGATAATGAAAGAAGTCATTATCAGCAAAAGATATATTTTATGAGTATGCACCAAGTTGCTTTTATAACCCTGAAGAAAAATAAACTTAATGCTTGTGGAATTTATGGTACATGGCATGATACTGAGGGAAAATACAATTGCTGTTTTAAGAAATTTAATTGTAGGAAATTTATGGAATAATTTAAGATTTCGTGTTTTAACAGGCACAATTAATTCTAGGACTGTAATTAATTTGTTTCAGATATATGCCCCAAAATGTTTGAACTTATCAGAGCAATGATGACTCCTGATTATGTGGAACGACCAACAGTTGACTTTCTTTTGACTCATCCACATCTCACAAAGATGATGATGTGGCGTCGTAGGTCTCACTATGTGAGTCAGATGGTATGTTGACAATTATCTTATGTAAACTTTTAATTAAAATTACACAATAAGATTTTGATTTTGTAGTGTTACCACATGTTTTAAATTTGTCAGTGAATTTAGCAAAATCAGTGGCTGTGTGTGTTAAATAAGTTTTACTAAGCAACACAGAAGTGATAAATAAAGGAATAACACTTACACTACCAACAGTAGATGAATATAATTACACAATTACAATTTTCATATTTACTACTAATAGGTATTGTGAAAGGCCACGCCACTGTAATTTTTATTGAGAAAGCATTCGCTTAGTTACACCAGTAATTTCATAGGTAGGTTTGGGGCTGATAATTCAGAACTTTGAAATTAAAAATAAAACCCTTATTGTTTGTTTATTTTCTAAGTAGATGTATTATTTACATCTGAAGTAATTCTTTGTTTGATTCTGTATGCCTATTGATGTGTGAGCAGGTCTCACAAGTGCAGTCCCTATGCAGCAATTGGTGTGCAGTTTTGAAAAGTTTTATGGAGATAGTGTTACTACCTCTTGCATACTTACACAGCAGCACACGTTCCAGTTGCAATAGTAATGGTTACGTTGCCAATGGGTGTGTTACCAATGGTACAGAGTGTAGCGAGTGGGGAAATTTATGCTCTGATGGTAAGTATACTTTTACTATGAACTCATGATAAGTATTTCCAAAGAGATTATTTATAGAGTGAAGCAAATTTAAGATTTTTGGTTCGTACTTAAACTTAAACGTGGCATTGAACTTCCACCCTTAAGTTTCTTTGTATCCACTAAGTCTATGAAGCACATCTTCTGTTTACCAGTTTCATGCTGTACTCATTGGAGGAACCCAGATAGCTTCATATTAGTTGATGACCACTTTGAGTTTTTAACAAAGCCTGAAAGCAGTAGAATTTGCATTCTTGAGAGATCAAGAGATATCAGTTTCCATGACCTTGAAAAATATCATAATTTTTGGAGTTTAATGCTACATAGTATAGCAAGGTTTGCTTGCTAGCAGTCATAGCCATATGAAGCATTTAAATTATGGTGGGTGTGATTTTCCTTTTTCCAGCTGAGAATGGGGAGAAGAGTTCAATGAATCAGTCTTGTAGTTCCACTTCCACCTGTACCACTTCTCCAAGTTTTTCACCCATCAGAGGGGACGAACAACAAACATTATTTAATACTTCTGTTCCTTATGTTATGGTAACAAATTCAACACCTTCATCCGCGCCACCAGGCACACCCAGAAAGAGAAATTCAGACAGCCTTCAAGATTCCATCACACCAGTAAGAACTCGGATGTAAGTGTTGGTTTCCTTAATTCTTGTAGTGCATATATCAGTGGAGCTGGGTAGTTCATTCAGTATAGTTATTGTCTACGGATTGGACGACCAGGGTTTAAGTGTTTTCACAGCAGTGAGTCCAAAGATGGTTTATTTTTCCTCTAGCCTCCTGTCCAATGGATACCGGAGTTCCTTACCTAGGGGGTAAAGAGGGTTGTAGTGCCATGTAGTCTGGAAGTTTACCTACGTTTCAGAGGTCCCTGCAGCCTCCATCACCAGAGCAGTGAGCCATTGGTAAACTTCTACCAGACTTCACAGTGCTACAATCCAGAACACAGCCATCTTCATGCTCATTTATTTGTACATTTCAGTGGCAAATTTGCAAATGCATGGATTATTTATATTCTTCCTTAGAAATTCACTAAAGAAATAAGTTTCATGAGAGAAGTATCCATTGTTTATGCATATAAAGGTTGCACTTTTAATTTCAGTATTTGAATCTGATTTTATACACACAAAAATTGAAATGTACCCTTTTCATTGCACCTAATTTTATATATATAGCCTGCAAATTATTGTGACCATAAGAAAGTTTAATAAATTAGAAGGTTAGATGTAGAATATTTTAAAAAAGGAAACCTGCCAAAATTGATTTAATCTTACATCACATGCTGTATTTTCAGAATAAGCCATTTCATCATAATTTATATCTACACAATGAATTATCACAAGTATGTGGTGTTTATGCAGTCAGATTCAATATGTTAGAGGTAATTTTAAATTTGCTTTCATGCTGTTTTCACAACCAGAGAAATGGTTAAATAAAGCCATGTTTCTGCTATGTCCAAGTTCCATGTTTGATAGGTGCTGTTTTTGTACATGGAAATAAAATGGTTAAAATGGAATATGGTTGTGTCTTCAGGGTGTTCTTAATTATGTTTTACTATTATATATATATATATATATATAAAATGGTGCTAGGGTTGTCATTTTATTCACATTTTTATGTATATTTTATGACAGATGGACTTTCCTTCTGCTGTATAACTTGTCCATTTTAGCTAACACAGGATTATGAAACTTTTATTTTAATTATTAACTTCTGGCTCTCTTTCAGCAAACGTTTATGTGTGTCAAATACCGAATTGCATTCATATGACCAAAGAAGTGAACTTGAAACAGAAGTGTCAACTAGCTGTTACCACTTTTCATTTTCAAGAACATCCACAGGTGCACGAAATCTACTTCCAGTATTTCGAAATTGTAAAGATTAGCCATTTTAAGGGTAAATGGGGGATATGCAATTCTGGTTATCATAGACTGGAAGTTCATGAACAGTCTCAAATGCTCTGGGATTAAAATTATTTGACTGTGACTGTGACCAGTAATATTGTATGTACTAATAATTTATAATGAATGAAATACAGGATATACACAAAAGAATAGTGCAGTTTCAAAAGTTAATAAAAAATTTATTTCTCACCTTACACGGTCACAACATACACCGTCAGCGGCGGCAATTGTCCAAGTTTCTCATGCGTTAATTACAATCCTTCAATGTGTGTACCGTTGGTCACACGACACACATCCACAAGGTAATCAAACTCATCCCATCCAGCGCTGTGGAAAAACACGATTGAGAAGCACTCGTACATTCCTGTGAAAATGGGAGTGGGGGAGCTCCGTCCAGTTGTAGAATGTAATCGTCATAATTGGTATTCAGTTGGGGTAACAACCAGCTTTCCAACATGTCGCCAGTCACAGATGCACCATTCTTTTGTGTATATCCTGTATTATATTTTCTGTCATTGTTCTTGTTAATCAAAAGGGTTTGAGCTCAAACTCTGAATTTCTTCCTGTATCTGCTGAATCAGCATTAATGGTATTTAGTATATTTCCATTTATTTTTTGTTATTTTTGTTGTTAACATGTAATTTTATGTAAATTTATAGTTGGAGATATATATATACACACATACGTATAAACATCTTAAAATCTTAACATCCTAAAACATCAATACGTTGGAATCAGCCGATTTCATCTCACATGTCAACTGCAATGGTTCAGTATTTTCTTTTTATATCAGCCTTTGATTTATAAAATATAGCATATTTTAAATAACTTCATAATCATTTTCTGATTTGTATTATTTTTAATGTTCTCATATAAGATTTTAATAGAAATTTGATGATTGATATTGTGTAGAAATTGCTGGACCCAAGTCACATGTTAAATGAACTGTTTAAAATGTGAAGATTTTTAGATTGACAGAATGCTGTTTCAGCCAAGACACGACATTTGTTTAAAAGATAGTTTTATGTTTATTTTTAATTGCATGTATGTAAGTATATTTGTAAGTTTTTAAAACTGGCTTGTTCATCTTCATAGGTTCTGATAGTTATATATCCAGTTTTTATATTAAAACTGTTCTTTTGTGACAGCCATTCGTATAATTCTGGTAACTAATTTGGTAAAAGTTTTATAAAATGTTTTATTTGCACAAATTTAAAATATTGCATATATATTTTAACCTTTTCAGCCAAAGATATGTAAATTATGAAGTTGGTGGTTGAGGTGCTTCTTGTATCAGTGAGAATTTCAAGAGCTTTCTGATAACTTGATAATGAACAGTAGGAACGTCTTAGGATTGTTATTGCTGGAGACCTCCATGTCTGTGAAATTCTTAGGCTCAGTGATATATATTTTGGTATTTAATTTAATTATTTCTCCATGTATCAGCAAAATTGCAGAAGTCAGACAAATACTGCCTACCTTTGAATCCCACACCTAAAATCAGTATGAAAAGTGTGAGAGGCCTCAAAAACAGTGTTCAGATATGTGCCTTGTTTAGAACAGACTGTTTTCTTATGATATAATTTCAGAGAAACAAAGAACAATATTAGTTTTAGATACAGGAAGATCTCCTTCACCCAGTAGTTCTAGGATTAATAAAATGTCATAACTCATCCACTGAAATTGTCATAAAAATGTTAATTCATATCTTTGAAATCAATATTTTTGTGAATTGACATGTTTTATAAACATTAATTTTGTTTGAGCAAGGTGCACATTATTCAAAACATTATTTTATTAACATTGTTGCAAGTACCTATACAAATGATTTTATAATATTTTGAAATAAAAACATTTAATTTGGTGCCTATATTTGGCTGTAATAATTGTTCTCTTATTGCTTTGTATTGTGTCATAAGTTAGAACAATAAAGAATGTTAAATACTTAAATTGTTCCAACAGCCATGCTTGGTTGAAGTTTTGTAAAATGCAACCACACTCATTTGAAATTTTGTTACTTGTGTTTAATATGTATTGTCTCATAACATAAAAAAATTTGGTAATTTAAGTTCAAGGGATCAGCTACTCATACCTTTCTTCACTTATTGACCCCATAATTGTGTTTTGAATGGTATGTATGGTGAGACTTTTACTTCTTGACTATCTTCATGTTCTTGTAAAGTGCAAATTGATATGTGAGACAGCCATCTTCATACTCGTCACAATGAGATCATGGAATCTCATTGTGAGATGTGTTGAATGAACTTGTTATCCCTGATAATTTTGAGTACTTAGGTCACTGATAAGGCACACTTATTTTTAATATTATGCAAAGTTCTTTATATTGTAACATATATCAGACAAAGGAACATATTTGTATTCACATGTTGCTTTAACCTTTGTTGTATTATTGGTAATTGTATAAATGTATTTATTCTACTTAGGATTTGAGCTTCTCACGGCGGTGAGAACAAAGATGTCTGTCTTCTGGGTTATAGTACCTGTAGTGTGGTTAAAGTTTATCAGAGGTCCTTGCTGCCTCCATCTTCTACCAGACTACATAGTGTTACAATCCAAAAGGCAGCCATCTTCATATTTATTCTAGTCTTTTGATTTAGGAAATGGTTTAGCGACAAGAAAACATAAGTGGCACAATGATCTTCTGGGTTGTAATGCCATGTGGACTTCTAGGTAGGCACCGGTATTTCAGAGAAACGTGTTTTCTCCATCTTCAGTGCTGAAGATAGAGGCAGTATTTTTCTTCAAAATGTTAGTGTCTGTGTACAAGTCCAGCAGTATTACAACCCACAAGACCAGCATTGACATTTTCACCACCATGAGCACATCATATCTTTTGACCATACTGTTTAGATAATGAAATTGTTTACATTAAAACTGTATAAAAATGATTACATATTCTGTAGAGCAAATACTGTACATATTTTATGTAAGACTAGATATTCAGTTATTTTAACCTGAACTGTAAAATATGATATTATTGTCTTAGGAAGAAGAGATGTATAAATGAATATGACAAATTTAATTTTTGAACACATAATCATAGGTGTACATGTGCACATGTGAGTGTGAATGTGAATAAATTTAAATGACTGAAAACATTTAATACGTCATTTTATTAGCAGTTATTTTTCATGAGACTTGTTGCTGGTGTCTTGCTACCTATGTGTCATAAAGTAATCTACATTTATAATTTCTGTACGTGTACATATAGAGAAATACATATGCAAATTTTATTAACTGAAAGCAGTCTATGAGTGCCAGCAAGTTAATATGCTAATCTGAGCTGTACTACTAGCAGTTCTTTCTTCAAGAGAAGGTTTTAGGAAGAAATTTGTTATTTACAGAGTTTATTATTGCTGTTGACCAAAATATGTTGTAATATTAATGAAAACTTTTAAGATCGCTTTGTGCACAGATATTTCATTCTCAATATGTATAATGTAGTGAGAGTTTACTGATATTTTCTAAGTTTATTTCACTACTTGAATACATCATTACTTCTACAGTAACCATATCATGAATCACTTTCCAATGTGTGACATTATGACTGTGCAGACTGAACCTCACAATATTGATATCTGTCATGTGCTACATACATAAATATGTATATTCCATGGATCCAAACATTTGTCAGATTGACTAGTAATAAGTCATGAGCATGCAATTATTTCATGTGATACACCCCATAACATTTTTCGTAAATACGCCTATAAGGAAAGGTCATTCGGCAAAAACGTGGAACGAAAATGTGTAAGATCCGTATCAACAAATCGACAACAATGGTTACCTAGGGAACGTCGTGTTTACTTGGCATTGTTGTTACCTTGGAAAACGTGTAAGATCCATATAAACAATTTAAATATGGACCGACAACAATGGTCAGCTTGCGTGCATTGTTGTTACTCGGCATTGTTGTGTTACATTACTGCCGTCAACAATCCACTTTCGTTATTGCTGAAAGAGCTGAGCTTTGGATCGCTTGTAGAAGAAGTGCGTCGTAGACTAGATAATTTTGACATTAAATTACATTCAGCTACCTTTCTTTCATTGTATTTATTGCTTAAATATAATTTAAATACAGAGACGTATTTACTTCAGATTCTCCAGAGCCGTGGTTCCACTGTCAATTTTTATTCAGGTATCATTATTAATCATCACTTTCTTTTAAGCTATTAGTAGCATTATTACATAAACCCTTCAGAATTAAATTAGTTTAAATTTGTGCTTGATAGTATATAATATTAAGTTTGACTTCTTTCTTCCATATTTAAGACACTATGTATTTAAAAAACAATTATAGCATTACAGAACATATGAATACATTACATGTCTAATAGAAATGTTAATAGTGTTCATGGTATCTGATTGACATATACATACAGCAGAGAATATTTAATTCTGTAGAGTGATATGTTACAAACAAAATTCTGCCCTAAGTCTACTACTGTGTCCTGGCCATGGGGAGAAACCATGGAATGGGATAGCATCTTTGGTATCTATCTAATGACGCAACACGTTTGATCTGTTTATGTATAGAGATCAGAGTTCTACAGGAACGGAAATACTAGGGTCACGTGACGTATGATGTCAGAATACATGGCGACTGGCTGAGCAGTGCAAAATCATCAGACTTCGTAAATTTGAAACATCGAACCCTTTTAGTTTCTGTACACAGTTCCAACAAAGGACGTTTTGATACACAAAAATGATTATTACGTTGAAAAACCTGCAACAACAAACCTTTAAAGTTGAAATTGACCCAAATGAAACGGTAAGTTACATCCAAGGGAAGTCCAAGTAATCATTCCATGCAATAACAAACGATATTCACGTGTTTGACCGGCGATAATTATTTATAATGCAGTGTTAAAATGTGAATTTATATTATTTTCCTTGTGTGTAATTAAAAGCTGTGGTTACTACTTCGTATATATCGTAGGTACGACATCTAAAGGAGAAAATTGAAGCAGCGAAGGGGAAAGAATATCCAGCCGAAAATCAAAGGCTTATTTATGCAGGTAAATCATTCGCAAGAAACACTGTATAAATCTGTGAATAATAAATCTGTTGTCAAATTGTGGGACAACTAACCAGGCAATATAATTGGTTTACAGGTAAAATCCTTGCAGATGAAATTGTTCTTAGTGAATACAACATTGATGAGAAAAAATTTGTTGTTATTATGGTGGCGAAACCTAGAAGTACACCAGCGCCTTATGCAGGTCCAAGTGATCCAACAGCTGCACCTGAGGAGGCTGAAGAAGAGAAGCAGCAGGAAGAAAGCACAGTGGCCACAGAGAGGTTAGTTTAGGTTATGTTCTATAACCAGTGTTTAGCACAGTATCTTTCTTATAGTTAAAATGTAGCATACATTCTGATGGTTACATCATCATGTCATCACTAAGGTTTCTCAGCACATTAACTGAAACTACATTTTACATTTGTAATGTTGCTTGTACTTTATTAATATGTGATGTGAATATCATATTACCTTGTTTTGTGAACCTGGATTTCAAACTCATGATTGAAGTTTCATCAAGGTAATTTAAGAATTAAACTAAAAGTGAATTTACTCCTAAAACAGACTTAAGATGTAGCCTAGTAATGAGTTGATCCACCTGTACAGCGAAAGACCAGACCTCTTTGGAGTTATAAACGAAGCACAGTGTTACACAGACAAACTGTATAACAGAGGACAGGCTATCAGTGTTCCTTGTAGTAAGTACATGGTGACTTATATGCCAGTACAGTTAAAAGAAAACTGCTAAATGATGCCTGCCAAAGATGAATGATTTGACTTGAATGTGATGACTGTATCTTTGCAGTTCTGAGACTACAGTGCCATCTACTGCAAATTCTCCATCAGCAGCACAGCCAGCTGCCACAAATATTGTGGACGCAGAGTCAGCTCTTCTAATGGGGGAAGACTACAACAAAATAGTGCAGAATATTATGGATATGGGGTATGACAGAGACCAGGTAAAGCTGTATGCTTGTCCCAAGTTGAATTCAGCCAAGAGTGCAAACCACATTTTCATTTTACATTATAAAATTACTAGTAAATTACTCTTCAAGAATGATGGGAAAATGTAAAATAGTATTTAAAGAACATATTTGTATTGAAAAGTATAGCGACAGTTATCTAATCTGTGTCTTACAGATGGCTAGTTTATAAATCCCATACAAAATGACAGGAAATGTTATTTTGTATGACATCTTTTATTTATATAATTTCAGAATGCAAAAATTGCATGTGGTAACTAAAAATTAAAATGTTAGATCACCTAAATAATATTTAATAATACCATCCTTACCACAAAGAAAACACTGAACTTCACCATTACAAGGATTAATTTGTTAATACTGTTCAAGGAAATAATTATAATTGAGATCAAGATGGGAAGAACAAGCTAGGAAAAATGTCACACAGAAGAGGAAGAATTTGGGTTCAAATGGAGGGAAGGAGCAGTTGGATGACAGAAATAGACAGCAAAAAGCTTTATTTTCAGATGTCCCACTCTAAATGGATACATCACTGGAGGATTATATGAGCCCTTCTCTGCCTTTGTGTAGTGAATATAGAATATTATTATTAATTAAGTACCTAAACATTGCAAAGAAAAATTTTGTATTCCTACTGTTCATTGAAGAGTGTGTGTGTGTATGAAATTTAAAGCAGTCTTCATCTGGTAATTGATTATTGGCCAAGAAGCAGGTAGCGTAGTGGTAGGAATGCTACTACCTTTGATTAGCCTCTGGATACTTTTTGGAATGGTATTAACCCCCCAACTTTGATTGAGTGGTTATATGCCCATGACTTGGTCCCCAAAGCCCGTAATTGTATAATTTATACAGTGAACAAAGTCCAAAAGAACAGTTTTACATATTGCAATATACCTTTAAACCTTGCCTGCTTTTTAGGTGGAACAGGCATTACGAGCAAGTTTTAACAATCCAGACCGAGCTGTTGAGTACCTTCTCACAGGTATTCCAGCACAGTTGTTTGACGACCCACCAGGCTCTGGACCAGAAAGTGACCCAATAGTTCAAGGAAGCCCTACACTTCAAGCGTCAGGTGGGGGTTCTGAAGGTAAGGTGTGTGATACTTCAACTAATGCCTGTTTGATTGTTGTTATATTATACCGTATTTCCTCGAGTAATTCGTGCCACCTTGAAGTTTTATGATCTGGCTTCTGATATGCAACAAGTTCTAAAAATTGCCTTTGCCTCTTTTTACTTACTGTGTGCTGATTTTCAGGATGTCATAGTGTTCCATCTGCCCACCCTCCTGTAAATACCAACTTTTACACAATTTATAATAAATGTCCTGTGTCTCAGTAATGTGTTCTAGGAGAGTTTGTTCACATTACTAAATTATGATTGCCATGTAGTATTTAGAGAAATTTAATTTGTTTTAAATAATTTTATAATTTCTAGAATATTAAGAAACTGCCTGTCAAGGTAAGTCAGTCCATATGCTAGCTTCACATCATGGGATACTCTGTATAAAACAGAATATTTATTAATCATTACCATTTACATCAAGAATCCATGCCAAGCTAATAATAATAATATGACTTCAAGTACAATTATTTAGGTGTGTCCACAACTAAATGTTACAAAAGTGCATCTGTCAGCTCTTTGTCTGTCTTTCTGCATGTAAAAACTTGTGAACCTCTGAAAGGATTTTCATGAATTATTACCTTACACCATCTTACAGGCATTTCTATACATGAGCCAGGGTCAGACCATGGCCCTGTGGCTCATGACATAATATCTACTGGAAAATACAGTTTAAATACATGCAGTGCTACATTATTTTCCTCAAGATATGTGCTGTTCCCAGAATGGCTGTTGTCTGTTGTTCCATGCTGGAATTTTCACCATGGATATCATCTAAATACTTTTTAAATGATCCAAGTAACCTTTTGTATGAACCAGTAATCATTGGTGTCACCTTTGCATTACACATGCCCTGTACTTCAGTCAGTAGATCTTTATAGCTAATATTTTATCTTCTTCTCTCTTCACTGCATTTCTGTCATTTATCATAATCATCAGCATCACTGCTGCTATAAACTGTTTCTTTGTGAAAATAAGGCAGTGTCAGTCTCCTTGATGTTTTCTTTATTTGTTTATTTTTACTGTACCACTTAATCTAGAGGCAATAAATTTTGTTAAACATGCATAGAAATGGGTTAAATGATTGGTCAATATTGAAGGGGAACAGGATCCTTGAGGTAACATTGTTTCAGAAGACCCGTTGGCGTTCCTGCGTTCTCAACCACAGTTCCAGCAGATGCGACAAGTGATCCAACAAAATCCACAGCTACTGAATGCTGTTCTGCAGCAGATTGGACAGACCAACCCTGCCCTTCTACAGCTCATATCACAGAACCAGGAGGCATTTGTACGCATGCTGAATGAACCTGCTGCTCCAGGTAGCTGAACATGACCGATATATAATTGAGTAAGCTGTGTAATACCATGACAGCATTTACTAAAATATGTTTGTAATGTTGTGTGTTTTACTGTTTTCCAGGAAATTCAACCTTTTAAGAATAATATGCATTTGCCAAGAGAAAAAAGTTACGAGATTATTCTTTTGTATTTATTGTATAAATAGTGGTATAGAAAAGGTACTGCATGTTAACATGGGTTGTACAATCTCCAGTGATGTCTTTGTATGTAATATAACAAGGTGTCTAGTGAGAGAAGTTTTGTATGCAGTTATCACAATTTAATCAGCTGAGATTCATTAAGCCACCTTACACGGCTGGTAGCCCGTGAAAGCTTCAGACCAAAATCAGCTGAGAGTTGTGTTGTAAGGTAGTAAATGTGCACTCATATTGAAAGCTGGAAAAGGCATGAATGAATTTTGAAATACTGTATTTAAGAGCATACGAATTGTGTTGGACACACTTATTACTTTTAAATTATTTTTCTCATCTTGAATTTTCTAATTTTTTATCTTTTTTTTGCTCTTGCAGAAAATTAAATGTTGTTTAGTTTCATTCATTACATAATTTTAAAATGTAAAAACTTGACTTGTATTATGTTGTAATTTCCAAACACAGTACAGTGGTGTTTGAATTCTACCTATATTTGCTCATTGATTATTCTTGCAACTTCCACAGCAAATTATCACTTTACGCTCACTTTTCTGCATACTCTTCTTATTTAGATTTGACTTACCTTCATGGAAGAAGGTGCCTTATTCCAGTCCCATAGAAATACTTTCTCTCTATCCCTATCTTTCTTTCTCTCTCTCTCTCTCTCTGGGGTACAGACAAATGGAAGTCACAGTAACAGTAAGGATTATATACAAGGTCTGGAAGGATTTTCTGTACTGGATCATCAGACTACTCGCATATAGGTTACGCATATTATATACTGGTGATAATGTGAAAACACCCACCTTTCGAAAAGACATGGTCTATTCTTCATTAGATCTGATTGCAGAGATTTGTTTGGAAAAGTTTTAGTTTTCACAACCATGGCTGTAGTATTATTAACATGATATATCCAACAACTCCCTGATATCATCTCTAAGGAGAAAGCAGTCAGTTCTCATGTCTCTTTCTCTTAAAACCTATCCCTTTACATATAATGTGACAATGCTGACATGAAGTGGAAAATTCTTTTGTTATCCTGTGACTTTCATCTCTCTGGCCCTCAGAAGCACATGAACTTTATAAGTGTTTTTGCTGGATGACAAAATGGAAGATATGGTCCTGACAGCATCTGCATATGGAGTGAACTAGGTGCAGAATGAAGGACCAGGTGTGTTCTGAAGGAGAGAAAGTACATTGAAAAGTGGCTGTGAGATTATATTGTGCCAGCTGTAAGAATTAGGAGAATTGCCTCAAGTTTCAATTCCCCTCATTTAAAAATATGGTCTGTATAATGTAATAACAACTCCATTCTGGCATACCAACTAGTTTATTTTCCAGAGCCATTTTACTCTTTACTGCCAGATATGTGTTGAACGTCATGGATCGAAGAGATTTGAATGGTATGTCGCTTCTCTCATTCAAAGAAAAGTGTGTTGATATCTGAAATGGAAAATGAAAAGACTCTTCAAATTGACAGTTACATTATCATGGTAAATGTTAAATCACAGTGCTAAAAATGTTATAATGTGTATTACACTATTCAATAATTAATTACAATATGTGATTGAAGACCCTTCTAATAACTTGATTTGAAGTGATATTCTACCTGAGTATTTGTTACCTAGAATTATTTATTCCAAGGCTTATATGTTTTATAGTGCTGTAGGTTTATTTGGTGGCCAGGATTATATGAGTTAATACGGTATAAATGTATGAATTCCTGGTAAAATTATGTTGTTCTGCAAAGTGTGCTTAATTGAAATTTGTATTTTATACTCCTTTTTCAAATGAATCGATATGTGGGTGGAGGAAGTCCAATTAATTGGTGAGTTTTACATTCTCACAGGTGGTGGCATACCTTCAGCTGGTGGTACCCCTGCAAGTCCTGTTGCAACTGTACATGGGAGTGCAGGAGAAGCTGGATCAGGTGCTGGTAGCATATTTGCCCCTGGAGTAATCCAGATAACTCCACAGGACAAGGAGGCCATTGAGAGGGTGTGTACTCGTGAAAGTATAACATCATTCATTATTTATCTGAGCTATATTTATTTAATGGGAACCTGCTCAAGAGACTGAATACCATTTAGCAGTCAGAATGTTGAATTATGATGTAAGTAACAATGGTAAGTCTGTAGTACCAGGTGCAAGAATATATGTTTCCTGCTCAAAACATCTCTAGGGACTTTCCAGCCTCTTATTCATTGAGTAGCTGGTATAAAGGGGGCCAGAGTCTGAAGGTCTCATCACTACATCTTGGATGCATAAGGACATGTGAAAGTAAATCTTTGCACATGTTAGACCAAACATTCTTAGCACTTAGCACACACCTTTTTAATTTTCCACTGGAATTTCATAGGTCAAATTACATTGATATATCTGAGCATTGGTCATACTGCTACCATGTTATTTTCCATTTCAAAATAATTATAACCTTCTAGGATGTTGCACTGTGTAGTCTCATAGTAGTTGACTGACGTTTCACTGGCGCTTACTGCCTCTGTTATTTGTACTTATTACCAAGTTTCATAGAAATCAACCATGTAGAAACTTTAATATTGATGTATTGAATTAAAATAACATCTAAGCAAACAGAAAGACAGCTTACTAATAAGTGTTCTGAAAAAGGAGCCATAACCTAAAAATTATTCAATTAAACAAATTGATGGTGAGATTTCAGGTTCTTACAGTGGTGAGTATGAAGCTGGCTGTCTTCTGGGTTGTTGCACCATGCAGTCTGGTCGAAATATACTTTCAGAGGCGCTTGCTGTCCATCATCAGGGCAGCGATGGTGGAGGCAGCAAGTACCTCTGAAACACTGGTAAACTTCTACCAGACTGCACAGTGCAACAGCCCAGAAGACGGTCATCTAAACAGATTTAGAACTGTCAGTTTATCTCATTCATGTGTAAGATTGTGTTTCTAATGCCCCATATTGGTTATTGCAGCTCAAGGCACTGGGGTTTCCTGAACACTTGGTGATTCAAGCATACTTTGCCTGTGAGAAGAATGAAAACATGGCAGCCAACTTTTTACTAGCCCAGAGTCTTGATGACTGAAAGGAAGCTTTGATTTCATTTATAACACAACACACACAGTCACTTGCTCGTAAAGAACATAAAGTGAGAAGTGAATTACTGAAGGGATTCCGTAAATACAATATCCTCCCTGTCCACAGTGAATGAAGAAATTTTTAAACTGGTTAGACTGAGTTTATCCAATTATTAATATTGTGCAGTGAATTCTGTACATTGGTCAGAGACTGCATTCATGTCCAGACTTGAATACCACACTGTGGTTAACCTAAGACTTTATGAGATAAGCATATTAACAAATATTTTATTTATGATTTCAGTTTGTTTGTTCATTTGTTTGAGTCTGAACATTGGATAATTGAGAATCTGCTTCCTGTTTTGGTTGTTGTCAAACTGAAAAGTATAACAACATGGCAGAAGTCAGAACACTGGATTGTTCTGGTGTGTGAAATTAATTTACTGTCATTAGAGAGTAAAGTAATGCTAAGGCATATTTGTTACTAATTGTAGTATGATATGGGCACAAATCATGCTATTGTCTTTCCTTTTAAATTTGGAACTTTTTATGAAGACCAAATTAATGCTTCAATATACAGTGAACTGTTCAGTTTGTAAAGCTTTCCTGTGTATATAGATCACAGTAATAACATTTTTACCCAAAACTAGCCATTTGTCTGAATTATTTTATCATTGAATGGCATGAAGGAGTAAGGGAGGGAAGTATGGGGAATATTAAATATTGAAGGATTGCAGCTTGTTACAACTAACTTTTTTTTTATGTGAAGAACTCCAAAATAAAGAATTTTTGAGTTGACTGATTTCATGCACTGATACAGTCTTTTCTTGGTACTGAGTGATGTTACTTGACTCTAAGAATCCTCTATTATTGTTTGGCCTTCATCCTCATTTTCCTTACCCCATTGAAGTTTTATGTTTTGTACAATATGTGGTTATGCCATTTGGTGAATATGATGGGGATCAATATAAGCAGCAGCCAGGGACTTTTCAGTCGTAATGAGAATGGGTTATACCAAAGCGGTACACATTGGATTCAAACAGCCAATGAAATGCCATATTCTCTTTTTCTTTTAGAAAATAGCTCATTGAAATGTGTGTCAACCCAAAACTTAGAGATAGTACAATATCATTTTAGCCTCACTTCTGTTAGGCAGTCTTTTTAGGCTCATGGTTGGTTACCAGGTTTTGTACTTTTGTTACTAGAAGGTGCTGGGATATGCCTCGCATTATTTGGGCAGTGGTAAACAGACATATTTTCCCACTGCAAGTCTTGGTGTTGTGTTTGATGATAGAAGTGGTGATGGTCTTTTACAGTAATAACCCTGACAGAAACAGAGTTTCTTCTGAAAGACTCCTGTTTATGTACAAAGGAACTTTCAAGAAAGTGGAGTATATGAATGTCTTTGTGTTCATATTCTCAATAGGGATGACTTTCAGCCAGACCATTTCTTAATTATGGTGACTTGATTGCGGAGACTTTTGTCAGTGATATGGTTACAACTCATGTTCAGTCATTAATTTTTTAAAATTTATATATTAAAAGTGATGTACATTACTTCAGAAATGACAGTGATGTAACTGTATACAACTGATTTATATGTGCACTTTTTAATATTGTGCATTTGTTTGGGATATAGGACCATACTAAAAGTTATTAAACCAATGAAAGAGATGAGATTTGAGGTTCTCATTGCATTGAAATTGTCAGCAGTGGCTGTCTGGTTTGTGACCCCATGTGGACTTGCAGGATACCAACATTTCAAAGAAACATAAGTTTACCTATAAGTCTACATGACTTCACAATCCAGGAGACCACTGTGAACAATGAAGTAGGTATTTGAGTATAGTTACTCCAAAGTATTGTATAAAATTACATACAGTTTAGAATTTAGTGTTATATATATGAATTATACTGAAAATAATTTTGAATGTTAATAACTATTTAGCTTTTCCTAAATTAATTTGGGTTGAAATTTTTGCTCTAAATATATTATCCCACATTATTGCATAACAGGTGAAATTTTGTAGCTATGAATTGTCCTTTCTTCATTCTTAACAATAATTTGAACTGTTTCTTGCTAGGTGGAACCAGTGTTCAGTAGTAAGTAGACAGTTTCTGTTTTTGCCAGTTTCTTTTATACTTTATCTTTACTCCTCACAGTACTTATACTATTTCTAAACCTTCATTTGGCAGATTTGGATAGTAGTACATAATTATGTAGTTTGGGCTTGTTATTTTATGAATATGGAACACACAAGTAAGTCTGATAGCCATAATGGTGACCTGGAAGGCATTTCTTTTGACATGTCCAGCAGTGATATTTCTGTCAGAAATAGACGTTAGACTCGGATTCAGACAGTTCTGTTGACACTTCTAACAACGGATGAAAATGAAAACTTCATTTGCCTCATAATTTTGACGCAAATGTCTAAGCAGAGCCCAATAGCTCAAAATAATAATGAAGCTGTTTATATGTGAAAGATTTTCTCGTATTATAAAGTGTTTTGAATAAAATTACTCGTACACATTATTTATGATCACATATATGAATTAAAATAACTTGCCATTTTTCTGTCTCACCAAATTCAGAAAATAAATTGACAAGTGGTTAAATACACTGGATGTATGAAAGTGAAAATTTCTTGTAGATAGACATTTCCTTGAGTTTTCTTGATTGTATTGGTTCACAAATTTGAATATAAAAGTTCTGTTATTTGAACGGTCATGTGCTTATAGATGAATATATATGGACCTTTATTCTGAATACAATATATATCTCTCTATGGAGGAAGCTGTAATGCTTTATTCTCACTAGTATTGTTTGGCTCAGTTTTCACACAAATGCCTTAAGTATGTACTGAAGTTGTGGAATTGTGTTAGAAAATTGGAGATTTGCTTCCACTATAGTGCCTCATCTAGTTGTTTCATGCAGTTCTTAGAGTTTTGGGTTGACTTTCCTTGAGCTTCATACAGTTAAATGCTGTTAAGGCCAAGTTCAATAGACTATGTAAAATTGATCAGGAAGAGTGAAGTTTCATTATATTGAGCATTAGTTATAAGAACCTAAAATGTGTTAAAAATCAGAATTATTAATAAATTAATGTTGTAAACAAACTGTAATATGTCATCTTTAATTATGTTTTAAAGCACTTTGTTCTCCCTGCTGATCGTTGATGGTGGCTACTGACTGCAGATGACAAATAATGAAAAGCAGCTCATTAAATTTGCAAGTGTTGGGATATGAGAGTAATTGGCCGTGTGTGTGGTGACAGATTGAAATTAACCATTGATGATAGTGTTCTGGGTTGTGACACCGTGTAAACTCATAAGTAGAAACCAACATTTTGAGGAGTTACCATGCAACATCAATGTAACAATAATTTATAAAATTCAGAAAAATTATTATTTTAAAGGATATTCGTAATGTTCTGATGATGGGGACAGATATAGTCCCTGAAACAATGAGTGTTTATTAACTGGCATGGCTGATAGCTTGAGAAGATGTTATTAATGATACTTGTAATATCTGAATTCTTTTTAAATATATCTTCAGTTCCATGTCCAAACATCTGATTACAAATAACAATACAGCACTAAGGCTAGAGGATGTCACATGGTTGATATTTCTGTCACTGGCTACAATTTTGGGAAGCAACTTTCAGACTCTGGAATGCTTGTTTTATTTGACTAGGGAGAGAGGATGGGATAACTACCTTTCTGGACTGTTGGCTGCAAATAGCCACAGAAGTGAAGCTGTTAAGTATGGTTAATGAAAAAAGTTGCAGCTAATCACAAATTGCTCATTATGATGGAGGTCCTGGAAAAAGTACATCAATTTATGCAACAATTTCCAATGTATGTAACATTAAGAAACTGATTCTGCAGTTTTGTTTGCTATAATGAAGGTTTCAGTATAGGCCAGTGTTCTGTAATATTTTTCAACAGTTGCATACCCTAATTTATCAATACACATGATGGCAGACCACAAAATATTGCTTCATGAAAAAGGCGTACAAAATGATACATAGCCATAAATATCTACTTGCCCAAAACAATGCAGGCATAACAAAATAACACATTTCATAAATTATTAATATTGAATCTGTGTGTATGTATTAAAATTAAAATTATAATAGGTAAGATGTTTCCTTTTTCGAACTACAACGTGTGATCATGCAGTTTCGTTTAAAAATTTGTGGCACACTGGTATAGGTCACACTAGTTGGAAAAAGAATAAGCCGGGAGTGTTGTTGCATCATACAGGAAAACAAATTTTGTTTCCCAGACTCATGTGACTAACTCATCCGATCCATGTCAGATAAGGAAACACACACTTGAGTCATCACAATTGTCAGTTGACCTTCGGCTGGAAAACTTTGAATTCCTGCACATTATTAGGTAAGTAATGAGAAAACAGAATGATGAATGGCGGCGGCAGAATCGGGAGTTATTTTCACCATTCCTATTTTAGTTATGTCGGAGATTGTATTTACACCGTGCAGTTGGTGATATAGTTGACGACATTGGATTCTTATAGTTTAAAACTATTGACAGTTAAAATATCATTATTTTTCTTTTGTTAACTTTATTAAATTGTAGGATTTAAGGTTTTCACAGCGGTAAGTCTGAAGATTGCTGTCTTCTGGGTTGTTGCGCCGCGTAGTCTGGCAGATTTTTTAGATTGTATATTAAACATTTTTTATAGTATTTGTCGGTTATCTGGGAAATATGAAACTCGAAGTTTTCGTGCTAAACTGACATTTCGTGATGGGCATTTCTTTCGAGCTATTTATATGTATCGGAAGCTTTATTATAAAATACTAGCGCAATGAAACTTATTTGTTTCATCAGTTTGAATGCCCACAAAGTACGTAAAGGTAATGCGGAATTTTTGCATGTATAATGACCAAAAATTTTTGTTTGAGGTTATATACGTGATTTCATTATGTCTGATATGATTATTTTAAATCATTATTCGTTTAAAATGATATTTCATTTGCTAAAGACTGGATGAACTTATGTACTGGTTTTCAGAATTCGGTATGAGCAAGAAACAAATACATTACATTTGTATGAGAAGCAGAATGCCATCGTACCTTATCTGGCGACTATATATGTATTATCGGAGGTAGTGTTACAAAGAAAATTTGAGTGCATGATTAAAGAGTGGCAATATGTGTTGGAAATGGTATGTTGTCCCAGTTTTATGTAAACTACCAGCTTTACCCTCCCACCTTTGAAGAAGTTTTTGCAATGTCCAATAATTGTACTCTGCAGTAACCTTTGGATAATATTGCTGCAAGAATGGCACAGTAGCAGGTCATTATCTCAAATAACTGCCGTCAACTTTTTTTATACTGCTTTATCATAAGTATGACATAAAAATTAATGTTGACATTCATTTCGTATTTAATTTACAGTGTATACCTTGCAAAGGATTTAACTAACACCAGCCCCTTAAAAGAGTAAAACCAGGTAGTTTTCTGTTCTTAGGAGTTATGAAGGAATGAACTAAATAGGAAGGGTAAGCCCATTTTCAAAATTACTTTTGCCTTTATGTAAAATTATTTTTGGGTACTGTTCTCCAAATAAAATAAATGTGGAAATAAGAACTTGGCTGTAGACAAGTTTATAAATATTTCATATTGAGAGTGAATTTCTTACACTGTGTCCTGTGAAAATCAAGTGTAGAAAAGTTACAGGTATTTATAAAAAATATTTTTTATGACATCTTGTTCATTAAGATGATGTGAAATGAGCAATTGTAGTGTAACATGTGATGGTGTGTTAACCAATTGAATGGAAAATATTTAATAGGTGTGATCTTTGTCTCAGCCTTCTTATAAGTTATGAATTTTCAGTACTGAAGTATTGAAATATTATAAGTACTGCTCTAATATGATGGACTTTAATCCTAAGGAATATTTATGATATGTTGATCCATACAGTATAAACAGAAACTTTTATTCATGTTATTTTTATCTTATCTCTGTTAGCTTTGTTTCCATGAAGTTATCAGAAGCTTATGTATAATTTTATACTATATTTCCTTTAGCTACTGATTATAACATAGCTTAACTTCCTTATGCAACACATTGTAAATATATATCTCTGACTAGAAGATACTATTCCGTGCACACATTTGTTGACCATTTTCATTGCTCTAAAGGTAGCCTGGATTTGAGTTTGGTAGCTGTGTGAGGTTGTGTTGTTTATCCCAAAATGAAGTATGTATTTGAGTGTGGCCTTTCCTACATATATATATATATAAGTTTCTGAATATTCTATTGCTCAGAAACTTGCATGCTGACATGTGAATAGAATAGTGTTTAATACTTTATATGAGTTGTTCATGTAAATTAATTAGGAATGAAAAAGGAAGAGTGTGCTTCTCTGACAGAGGGAGTGGTTGGGTTTCTATGATGTCTTTATTTAATAATGCAGTGCTGAGGTCAAGGATGAGTAGCTTTTTCCAAAGTTTTTGAATAGTAAGAAGTTTTGTTCATCACATTTTGTAGTACATTTATTTATGTGTAAGGTAAAAAATGTAAGTTCTCCATATTTAAACTCACATAAAACTGTTGCATGCATTTTGGGGACAGCAATTGGGAAATTTGGCAAGTACTTTATGATAATAAATATATGTTTTTGTTACACATCTTAGGAATGTGGTTTACAGTGGTGCTTGCATTAAGTATCCATCTGATTGCTGCTGAGTTATGCCCAGAAGGAAGAAAAACTTGTGCCCAAGGGATGACATGCTGTGAGCTTCCCAGTGGTGAACATGGGTGCTGCCCCTATGACAATGCGACCTGTTGCCCAGACGGGGTGCACTGCTGCCCACATGGTAAGCTGTCTTTGCTATTTCTCAGAAGAGTGCAATGTTTTCTTTGTGATTTCAGTGTATGCGTTGTATTACTTGGCCCTTTCCATTCAGTTTAGCCATTAATCTAGAGCACTGGTTCTCAAGTGTGGCCACCAGAAAGTTTTAGCAGAAGTCAATCCTGTGACTCCCACAAGAAAGAGGCCAGCGTATTACCAGAGAGCTGACTTGCCTTATGATGTGTCAGTATTGATTTATATTACTTAAGTAAGACCACGTGATTTGTATAATTGGAAACTAAAGTTGTCTAAGTGAAATAACTGATGTTGTTGTTGTTCCTTGTCTCTACAACCCAGTTGTGGGTTTTCGCCGCCTCCTCGGAGGTTTCTTGGTCTTTGAAGTGTACATTTGTGAGTAGTGAGTGACCAGCCCACTGATTCTGAGATAACATGTATTTAATAAATAACTGACAATTTGCAGAAAATATGTGTGTGTATTCCAGTATGGATTACGCCTTTCCATTCGTTTCATTTATGGTTTATTTAATAACACTGTCAGAAGCTCGGACTACGATATTGTTGAATGGTATTAGAAAGGTTGTGAAAGGAAATGGTGTGACCTAACTTTAGTTCCTATCCTGACATTTGTGTGGAGCTACAGATATAAATCAGTCTTGGTAGCCAGGCTCTGGGTTGAGATTTTAACCCAGGACCTCCAAAATATAAAGTAGAATGCTATCTTCTCAGCTACTATGATCAGTCATAGAAGTTCTTCTTTTTGTGAAGATTTTGTTATTACTTTGATATAGTTCTTTGTTTCCTTTTATTTTCCTTCCTTGTAAATTCTCACTGTTTCTTAGTTCATGGAAGTATTCAACATGCCTGTCGACAGGCAGTCGTCTTTTTCTTGTCCTTGGATCTGATCATAATCTTGAGTAAAAATTATTGCCTCACACAGGTAATGTAATACTGCCACTCTGATTTTCACCATGTACCGATTATGTAAAAACAAACATTTGTGTTGTTCTTCATATGCGTATGTGTTTTACAAGTAGCTTGAGAAAATGATAGTTAATTAAAAAATAGCATAGATGATGCATTATGTGCCTTTAAAGTGACATAAAATGTACATGATGAGGTATGTTTAATAATTTTTCAATATAAAATGTGCCCTTGAAAGAATTCACCATTTAAATTACAGAGGTATTTGCTTAGAGTTTTGTGGACACCCAATTTTCAAATGTGAGCTTATATTAACTAGATAAAGGTCTGTTCAGCAGAGTGGAGTTTGTATGTGTAAAAAATGTGATACAATCTTCTTCTTTTTTCTCTGAATCATACTGATTGCACACATGGTTTCAAATTTGATTTGTTCATGGTACTTATTTAGAGAGTTTAATTTATCATTGAACACTGATTCTTTTCTTTGTTTTATCAGGGCATAATTGTTTGACTGGACGCTGTGGAGATGGGCATAGAAACGTAGATACTGAACTTTCCAAACTCATGGTGGATTACCAAGAACCATCTAATGAACTGGACATCAAATCCCAGCAAACTCCAAATGCTAGTTAGTATAAGTTGCTTTGTGGAGTGCATAGTGTAGCAGTAATAGTTTGTAGTTGTTTTAATGTTCTTCCTTGCCTTTCTTTCTGTAAAGGAACATTTTTTGTTAGTTACACCTAAGACTTTTTGAAATAATTGTAGTTTTGTTTATTATTAGTGTGTTTTTTTATTTGGTGAAAAATTGGAATTGTGGAAATGTTATTTTTCACATGAGCAATTTTTAGTTTTCATAATATTGGTTTTATATGTACACAGATCTTCTGAACCCTAACCCCCCTGATACTCAGAACCAAACTAAATCACTTCTTTATTATTACTGATCATTCTAACCCTTTGCCTCTTATTTTTAGATTGTGGCTGTTTGGTGCTAGCAGAACAATTGTTTTCCATGAATTTCAGTCTTAAAGCTATAAATTCAAAACAAACCATATTTAAGGGCTCCCATGTCACTACAGCTCAAGTCTTGGATGGAGGAGAAGGCCTCCAGATATATAGAGGGTAGCTGTGAATATATTGTTTAAGCAGTTGCTTACAGGGGTGGTCTAGCATGAGGGTTGGATGGGAAGCTAATAATAACTTTCTACCATAAAAGAAACATAATTGTACAGTGTTACCTAGATCGTCAGATTTGGTCAGATTCTTGGGGAAGTGGGCTGTAGAGTATTAATTCAATGTTTTTATATTGATTGCACACTAATTTAATGTTGTGTTGATGAAAATTATAGACAGAAGCAGGTCACTAAATTGTATTAATCTGTAGTTCTACCTAGCTTTATCATATATATTGAATTGTTTGAAGTAAAATAAACCATGTAGTTTGTAGGATTTTAGGTTTTTACAGCTTTTAAGAAAAAGGTGCTGGTGCTCTGTGTTGTAGTATTCAGAATGTTCATTGTATGCCAGCATTTCAGAAGAAGATCTGAAATGTTGGCACATGACCAAAAAGGCTGTGTGATGCAACAATCTAGATGCATGTAGTTTCTTCCCAGATGTATTTGTATATCAATGACAGTTTCATTTCTTTGACGAATGGCTGTCAGTGAGACCATAACTAATGCATCTGAGCTTGATGATTTATCTACATGAGGTGACTGAAGACTTGCTGTTTTAATTACCTTTTCTCAGTATATTTGTGATAACCTTTCTCTTCAATGTGAGTGCAGTACATATATTGCAGTAATTCAAAAGTCATGCTGTAGTGCTGGTAGTTTACCTTTCCCTCAAGCAGCTTTTCTGTCTGTGATATTTGAGGTTTTCACAGCAGTGAAAATTTATAATGTGGTCTTCTGGATTACACCAGTTGCATTGTGTCTTAATTCAGAAGACCACATCTAATTTTACTATATATAATTTGTCACCATGGTGTAAAGAATAATCATGCTTCTTTTGTTTTAATTTCTAGGCTTGATGGTTTCTGGTATTGTTTGCCCTGATGGACAACAATGCGGGAATGCAGATACATGTTGTGAGATTTCTCCAAATTTATATGGTTGTTGTCCATTTCATAATGGAGTGTGCTGTCAGCATAGCAGAACCTGCTGTCCCTCGCAATATAGTTGTCTCCCTGCAGGGTGGTGTGAGAAGGTGTGTGCTAAGGTTTATTGCAATTCCATTAATCTTCATTTCCCCCCCCCCCCCTCCCCAATCCTTTTATGAACTCTTTTGTAAGTTTGAGGATAGAAAGTATATATATTTACCTATGTAATTTCTTGTTTGTTGAAGTTCAAAATGTTTTGGATATCCCATAGGATTTGTATAAGCTGATGATTTTGTATCTGTACAAGTGCTTCATTTGTTTAGGTTAAGTTGCATATGTTTTATTATGTTTATTTCATTTTAATGTTCTGAATACTAAGCATATGTTCATATCTTATCACCAACACTGAGCACAAGTCTTTGCTTGGTGTGAAATCTGTTGATGCAAGAACCATCACATTATGCTTACCAGAGTTCCCAGGCCTGGTTGCAAGGGAATGTAAGATTGTATTCACTAATTAAAAATATAATGTGTATGCTATCATTTGGCATACAAGTAAAAGCAGAGGAAACTAAACATATATTCATGCCTTGTTGCCATATTGCGGAACAAAATCATAATATGATTATTGCTTGCTAATAAATCCATTGAAAATGTGACAGCTAAAATATTTAGGAACAATGGTAACAAAACTTAAATACACAAAGAAATTAAGAGCATATTAAATTTGGCAAATGCTTGCTACTGTTCAGTTCAGAACCTTGTCATTTTAAAGCATACAAAATTTTGGTTGGAAATCCTGAAGTTAATATCACTTGCAATACCTAGTTATAGATGGGAGGATAATATAATGGATCTTATGGAAACAGGGTCAGAGGGTTTGGATTGGATTCATCTGGCTCAGGATATGTACTGGTGGCAACCTTTTGCAAAAAGTGTTTCATAATCTGATACTCATGCAAGTAGGTGTTAGTAAGGATCTCATACTTATATATTGTGCAATACATTCATCACAGGAAATGCCAGACAACACTCAGGAACCAATAAAACAATTACCAGTCAACACAATTTGCCCAGGAGGTCATCAGATTTGTCCTACTGGTCAAACGTGCTGCCCTCATTATGCAAGTTGGGGCTGCTGCCCATTTCTTGCAGTAAGTATTGCATTAGATGTACAGGAATGTTGTTATGTAATCTTGATACTTTCTATGACGACTCTCGTCTTCTGGGTTGTTATGCTATATTGTCTTGTAGGCGGTTACCAACGGTTAGTAACAGTTAAAGTATCAAAGTTTTACTTTTTTAGTGTTCAAGAATTTTACTAGTTTTCTCATATTTGTTGCAGGCCACTTGTTGTTCGGATCAGTTACATTGCTGTCCTCATGATTTCCGTTGTGATGTCAGGGGATATTGCACAAAAGTCAGTGATGAAAACTAAGTGATCAAGTATTTTCAAGAAGCTGTGATATGTATCCTTGTGTGTTGCATCTGTATTATTTCTTAAACTGTGTCTGTGTCGCAAGATGCAGAAATATGGAATTTCAGTAGTGTTCATAATTTTTTCGTGCATTCCCTAATTGTCATGTCTGAAGACTGCAGCATTAAAACTGATTTGGGCATGCAGAGGGGTAGTTAAGTCCATCATAATTATTGTGCCTTCAATGAGACTGTAGTGTATTGTGGTATTTGAGAAAACACTTGGTTTATAACTGGAAAGGAATCAGATATTCAGTATGTTAAAATTTGATACAGTGTTTATTTTGAAATATGAATGGTTCAGTCATTGGTGTAATACAATCTGGATTGTTGGGTTTTTGAGTTCCTGGATTTGGTTTGATTTATTTTAATTTCAACTTGCACATTTTCCCGAGTCTTGACATTAATGTGCCTTATAACTTTTAGTGTTAATCTCATTATCTCCAGTTGACATAACCTCATCTCAGGTGCTTATATGCATGTAGTTGTTCTAACCTAAGTTGTCCAGTGATTGAGATTAGATAATTCATATGGACCCAACAGTGTAGGTGACCCCTTCTCTACACCTGAAGATGAGGAAAGACCCAGTTCTTGAAATTTTATGTGTTTTATAACATCAGATGATGGATAAGGTCCAAAAACCCAACAATTAAGATAGTATTTATATTTCTCCTAGTCATGAGAATTTGATGTTTTAACCATCAATCAATACAGGAGCATTACCATCCTATCACGCATTTCTATCTGATGGCCTTAATGATAAAGATGAGCAATACGAGATCCTGTTTAATTTCCTAATTTGGTTTGTAAGATTTCTCTTTCAACATAAAATGAGCATTCTCAGTTTCATAATGATCTTCAGTTGGAATGTCCATAATACAATGACTTTGTATGAAACATATAAAAGCAAAAGTCTATTTTATTGTGCACATATTTTCCATCATACAGAACTGAACCACATAATTCCAACCATACATGAATGAAAAGAAACATCACATCACTGTAAACTGTCATGATGAACTACACATTCTTTGTGACTCAACAAAATTATCATAAATTTTATGTCATTTTTCTCACTCTTCAGTACATACTAAATTATTCTTGCACAATCCCAACAACTTTAATAGGGACAGATTTCACCTTGAGCCGAGCATGGTATCTGGTAACTAATGCTTAGGAATTTTGGTGAAACGCCAGGTATAAAGCAAAGCCAAACAAACCAAGCGCTTGACTCCGCTCCCTAGCTCCTTGGGCCTGGGTCCGGACATGAGTACTGGTCCCAGGCAGGTATATACTCAGGAGACGTTTGAGGTATCCAGTCACATCAGAACCCTGATGATGGGGACAGAGTTGGTTCCCGAAACGTCGGTTTACTATGGTAACCAGTTGACGCGGCTGATTGACCGAGAAGATTTTATTGATCATGAAAGCAAATTCTGAAATATATACTGAATTTACATTACCAAGGAATTATTAACTCACTCCATGGAAACTAAGAGTTCTTGAAATTGTAATAGATGCTGAGGTGGTCTATAACTTTCCATGTCCATGCCTGTTGTTGCTATATTGAAGAGCAAGAGGCCTTTTCTGTGACGACGATAACAATTTATATGCATGTAGTTTTTCATACCCCATTATGATCATGGTTAGGACCCACTTTATCTTGAGATATTTTACTTTTATCATGAGTTTGTGTTAACAGCTTTTAAATAGTTTGTAAAGAAAAAAATGTTTCCTGGGCCTTCTAAATGCCACTTTGTAATTTAATAAGTCTGAGACCACTGCCCCCCCCCCCCTTGTGTCTAGAAATTAAATGTGCATCTGGAATTTGATCATTCACCTACCCCAGTCTCTTTGTTAAGTCTCATGAAGATTTTGAAAACAGATTCATTGCAAGGCAGCTTCCAGGACTGTGGTATTCCTTTTAAGTTCCTGTTGTATCTAGTTGCAGTGGTTGCTCTGGTTTCAGGTACTATGAATATTTCATACATTCCAGTTGCTTTGTTTTTTAAATGAATTGTGCTTCAGTGCTGTGTCAAAGGTCAAATATTTTCCCCATTGTTAGTTTCAATTGTTCTGCTCTAGTACAGGTTTGGTCTCATTGTTGGAAACTGTGACCCATTTTGTTATTATGAGGGGAATGGGGTTACCATGGTTTCAGTACTTTGAAAGCGTTGTATCGTATTAGGCCGTTTTTTACACTTTCGCCTGTTTCTAAATACTACTTTATCTTTTGAAGATAGCCGACGATGACTAGTGACATCAGCTGGGAAAAATGAGAATCGTGATGAAGTTCGGATGTGTGTGTGTATTGGTGTCAGATTATGTTGAAGGTGTCTTCACTTATGCTGATAAGTAGGCACCTTTCATTTCCAAGGCTAAGAAATTCCTTTCTGGTGATCTGATTTCACTGCTGTTTTCGTGTTTCACAATAGATCGCAAAATGGTATTAACACAAATTACAAACTGATTGAAATTGTGAATATTGCTGAGCGTTGATGAAAAGCGGTCCCAGCGTAATTGTATTGTATTGTTTAAGCGGTATCTGTCTGTGATTCTGCGAAACGTAAAAATATCCGCAGGTTTATGAAATATTGACGGTGGTGTAAGAAAACCAATAACTTGACAGTTATATATCGGAACTATATAGTTAATCGCACAGTATTAATGAAAAATGGCATCCAACAGCGAAGTGTTGGAGAGCTCAATAAAATCCAAGAGACCTTCTGGTAAGATATTTTCCTTACTTCATAAAATATGTACAAATATAATTGTGACATAACCTAAACCTTTTGCAATTGAGGTTAATTTACATTATCTGGAAGTCATTGTATAATGTATTAATTTATTGTGTGTATAGTTTAAATAACACATCTGACACCGTTTAGTATGGAACTATTATGTATTATGCATTTACCATGTTTAAAAAGTGCCAAAATTGTATTTTTTGTGTGTTGTTAATGATCGCATTTTATGATTAAGAAATCATATGCACATGTCGGGATCAATCTTAATTTTGTTGGCACATTTATAGATGGCTTCTTGTTTGGGCTGTGTTCAAATCAAATTTACTTATATTTACATTTCGAGAAATACTTATCAAGATTTTTTTTAAAATTTGCAAAGTTTTGTTCTTGTTGAGTACAGGCTTCATAAACCTTTGCTTGTACTTTTGTTAATTCGCATGCATCTCCTGTGTCATATGCAAGGTAATGAGGGTTTTGCCTAAATATTTGTGAGAGATTTGCAAGAGAAATAGTAAAATCCCCAGACTTTATTAAGGTTACCACAGACTCACAACATCCACTCCTACTTGGTAGAAGAATTTATAAATACGTGTAAGTAATAATGATGATGGTTCTCATCATAACTGTTTTTCTGTAATACTGTAATTCCAAAAATCTGTCAATAGCTGTAATAACTATGTATTTATATTTGTACTAGAAACAAGTATTGTATTTGTGCTATGACCTGTTCTACATCCTTGGCTTAGGTCTATGAAGGATTAATGGAATGTAAATAAATTCTATTCTATTATTAGGACTTTGCTCCATGGATTTAGTGACTTTTGACAGTATAAAATATTTTTTTGTCCACAGTCCAGTAATAAAATTTTATTATTTGTGCAGACAGTGCATTTAAGCAACAGCGGTTACCAGCATGGCAACCAATCTTAACAGCTGGCACAGTTTTACCAACATTCTTTGTGATTGGTATTGCATTCATTCCTGTTGGCATTGGTCTCCTATATTTCTCTGATGAGGTAAGTCAGTCAGTAACCAAGTTCTGATTACATATAGGTTTTTAAAATTCTACATAAACTTGATTTTGAAAAGATTCTGGTCTAGTCTGCCTGAACCCACTCTATACCATATGCCAATTTTATAGTAAAGTAGTGAAAGCTCATCTATTAGTGTCAGATTGTGTGAATTCTAGCATTTGCTAAGTGAAACCAAATAAATAAAATGATGTGAGGTGTGATTTCACCAACAAGAAGAGACTTAAGAATCAAATTAATATTAATAGGACCATATTGTTCCAATTAATGAACCACTGTGGTTTCAGGAGTTTTGTATCAGTCTGTGGTGACAATTTTGAAACCCTGGTCTCCTACATACAGAGTCTGAGGAGTATGTTCAGTCAAACCAAATACCAGTTTGATCCCCTTATCTTAAATGGGCACTCAACATTTTGATTCAAGTTTTCTGTGTGTTGTTGATACTGTCTGCGTAGGACTTGTGGTTTACACAGCAGTGTGTATGAAGATGGCTGTATTTTGGATTGTAACACCTTATGCTATGGCGACGATGGAGGTAGCAAGAACTTCTGAAATGTTGGAGAACTTCTACCAGGCTACACTGTGCTACAACCCAGAAGATAGCCATCTTCATAATACTGTCTGTTTTAATTTATTTACAATTTTGTGAGTAATTCTGTGTGGAAATGTAACATCCTGCAATTATGCCAGTATCTGCCCCTTACTTTTCCTGTAGAACTGTTTTTGACATATGTGTTGTATGTGAACTCTGATTGTTCCAATTTGTATTGTACTCATAATTTCAACATAGGAAATATCAAGTCTGGGTGAATGACTGTTTATCACACAGATCAAGTACTGTACTGGAGGCTAAAGAACTTGCTACTCAGGATCTAGGATTTGGATGGCACATTACACATACGTTCGCTTTACTGTAGCTGTTGTATAATTTTCTGGGAAGCTCAGAAAAGACCTTACTAAATATGTGCTATATTTTAGTTTAAATTTGAGTAAATGTTGTGTGTCAGTAAAGAAAAGCAGAAATGTGTGCATTGACATTTAACTCATCAAATGTGTAATTCTAAATGAATTATTAACATTAGCATCCTGTGTTATATGCTTGTTTTTCCTGCCCATTGATTAGCAGTTGTAATGTTAAGATGTGAAACACAGAATCGTATTGAGTGAATTTCATTGTAAAGTTCCTCCATGGGATCCGCACTGTGAGACGATATTATGGATGAGACTTCATTATGTTGTCCTTTAAGAAGTATGAAGTCTTGTGAGCAAAATCGAGTACCCAAGACAATTTCACATAACTAAGTTTAATGCTGTGGTTTTCAGTCATATGATTATGAAGAATGGAAGGTAGAGTCCACGACTGTAATCTTGAGACTTGCAAGGAATGCAGGAAGTCCATAGCGTTAAAGGCAGACGCTATCTTTCCTCCTTCGCCCCACTTCCTCACCCCGTAAGTCTCAATATTACAGTCATGGACTGTATGTATAACTATAATATGAAGTCTTGTGTTATATCTTCAAAGGAATATGTAGTAACATAAGACTAAACAGAATGCACAAACAGGATCTTGTTCCTTAAAGCGTATCTCGTTTTAAAGTATGATAGCATCACAGGTTACTTGTTTCCGACTTGCTTATTGCATTGCCACAGGTAAAGGAACTGATGATAGACTACACAGATTGCAAGAATCAGAATGATGTGCGGTGTAGTGAAGTGATCAGCCAGAACAAAGATGCAACATGCAATTGTACAATACCATTTGAGCTGGAACATGACTTCAAGGTAGGTGGATATGTCTTCGTGCTTCTGTTTTTTAAAGACCCATAATAGTTGTTGAGAATGTTGCTGATTCTATACTTAATGTGAAATGTGATTTGGGAAATTCTGAGGAATGTCATTTTTGTCCTTAGGTTTCCTTGTCTAGTGTTCAATGTACAGCTTAGGTCTTTCAGGATGAGCAGTGTCAAATGTTGAAAATTATCCACAATTACAGCAAATATTGCAGTTGCCATCATCAGGGTGAATATGTAATGGTTGGGCATTTTTGGAAGCCTTATTATTTAGGGCAGGCAGTAGATGGTGAGTTGGATTTGATTATGCTGATTGGTGGAGCTTCCAAAAACACCCAACCATCATCTATTCATGTTTAAGATGGCGACTGCAGTGTTTGCTGAAGCAGCAATAATTTTGAACATTTGATGCTGCTTGTCGAAGAAAGCCAAAGTTTTATGAAGAATGTGATGTTGTGATAATATATTATAGAAGTAAACACATACTTGTGCCTACATTTTACATTGTCAGAACATCTTACGTGAAAACTTTATTTATGTGAAAAATTCTGAATTTTTAAAAACAAAGAAACTTACACAAAACATAGAGACAAATTATTGTCGTCTTTTTATACTGTAGTTATCTTGGTGATTGTGATTACATCTCTACTGTGTGTGTGGCGTGGTGTATCCTTTTCCTCACATTTACATATTATATTATAATTAGTTGTGCCTTGATTGTTTTATATAGGGTAAAGTTTACATGTACTATGGACTGACAAACTTCTACCAGAACCATCGGCGATATGTCAAATCACGGGATGATAATCAGCTGCTTGGCCGCCTTGATTCTGAGCCGTCATCAGACTGTGCACCATTTGATGTAAATGACAAGAGGGAACCTATTGCACCTTGTGGAGCTATTGCCAACTCTTTGTTCAGCGGTGTGTAGTTTCGCTAATCTCCTACTTCATGAACTGAATCACTGTTCATCTGTTGTAATAAGAGACTTTCACTGCTAAGATTTTTTCATAGTTGCCATTGCAACAGAAATGTTGAACTGTATGTCTGTAATCCTGTCCCTTTTAAGGATGAAACTCTGGATAAACGCTACCCACTTTATTCTTATTGCTGCATCTGAACTTACATAAATGAAAGAGAATGGCTTCTAAACTGTCAATATGAAGATCCTGTTGAATTTCAGAGGCAAAAATTTTAAAACCACATGAGTGGGATACATGCATTTCATATCATTTGAAGTGTTCTGCTAAAACATATAAAAATATAGAAATTGTCTGTGAAAATATTATTAAAATAGAGACATACAAATCACTTTCGAGGAAGATGATGATGTCAGACATTCCACATGATTTGATTATACAGCCATATAAGCAAATATCAGAATTACCAGAGGGATTTAGTTTTGTATTTATTCTATTTTCTTTTGGTCTGAAAAGTGACTGCAAAGATATGTGTTATAAGAAAGTAATATTTTCCACTCATTCATTTAATTTACAGTTTGTTTGATATTACAGATGAACTAAGTATTGAATTCCTTGAAAGTAAGAATAAGAAGACAGCAGTACCATTACTGAAAACAGGCATTGCATGGCCATCTGACAAAGAGATAAAATTCCGAAACCCTCCTGGAAACAGTCTATCCCAAGGTGAGTTTTACTTGTCTCATCTTTAGTTTTAGAGAACAGTTTCAGGTCAGAATCTCACATAGTTTTGTAGCTTTTGAAATATGGATGATGTCATAAATAGGGCTTGGAAAATTAAAAGTCAGTCATTAAAATATGTGAACTCAGAACTGAAATTTTCTTTTCCATATCAAAATCTGAAAAACTGAAGGAGCGGCTTTCACCGAGTAGCAGAACAAAATCATAACATGGTCTCTTCCTGAGGGAGGAACACAGATTGCAGGTGTTTGAGAATTGGGTGTTGAGGATATTTGGGCCTAAGAGAGAAGACGATGGGGCATGGAGAAAACTGCATAATGATACGCTTAAAGATCTGTACTCCTTCCCCGATATTGTCAGGGTGATTAAGTCAAGAAGAATGAGATGGGCGGGGCAAGAGGTGTGCATCTGGTATTGGTCAGGAAGATGGGGGAAGAGACCACTGGAGAGACCTAGACATAGATGGGAGGATAATGTCAGGCGGGATCTATGGGAGATAGGAGTTGAAGGAGACTGGATTTTGTTGGCCCAGGACAGGGTCCGGTGGAGGGCTTTGGTTAATTCAGTGATGAACCTTTGGGTTCAGTAAGCCATCTAGTTAGTTATCAAAATCTGAATGTAAATTGTGCAGGTGTTTTACTAAGTCTTAATCTTGATCACATACAGCTTTCAAGGGATATGCAAAGCCAGACTCTTGGAAGAAGAATGTTTGGGAGCTGGATCCAAACAACACAGATAACAATGGCTTCCAGAATGAGGATCTAATTGTATGGATGCGAACGGCTGCTTTGCCAACTTTTCGAAAGCTATACCGTCGGGTTGATCACAGCATACCTGGCTTCTCAGATGGTCTTCTTAAGGGAAACTACACACTCTTTGTCGATTATTGTAAGTGTGTTTTATATTGCATAATGCTATTACAGATTAGTGTTTTTATTATTACGTCTACCATAAGGGAATTTAAATTCCTCACACATCCTCGCAGCTTGATTAAAATAAATTTAAATACTTTAAAGAGCAGAAAATCATAAAATGATGATATGTATCACATTTTTAAGCTAGAAAATCCAAATAATAACTACATTATCAAGAACAAATCTGTCTGTATACAAAGTTTTGAAGTAAGCAGTCTTCATATATACTGCTTGTTTTATGCAGTTTTACAAATATTTTAATTATTTTTGAACGTTTGAATTGTTATCCTTTGAAATCTTTATGGATTTAGAATGCCAGGTACTTAAATATGAGGAGGGGCAATCACCACCTGCCCACTGCACAACTGGAGGGAGACTGGTGCAGATATATTGCTCTGTTGCTCATATATGTGTACTATTTTCAGTTACATAACTTTGAAACTAGGAGAGAAGATGATGGGGCATGGAGAAAACTGCATAATGATGAGCTTAAAAATCTGTACTCCTCCCCCAGTATTGTCAGGGTGATTAAGTCGAGAAGAATGAGATGGGCGGGGCATGTAGCACGCATGGAGAGGACAAGAGGCGTGTACCGGGTATTGGTTGGCAAGCCTGAAGGGAAGAGACTGCTGGGGAGACCTAGATGTAGATGGTAGGATATCAGGTGGGATCTATGGGATATAGGAGTTGAAGGCGACTGGATTTTATTGGCCCAGGACAGGGTCCGGTGGAGGGCTTTGGTTAATTCGGTGATGAACCTTCAGGTTCAGTAAGCCATCTAGTTAACTTTGTAACATGTTTCTTTCAGCTTATATGGTGACCAAGTTTGAAGGCACAAAGAGGATGATATTATCTACAACATCCCTATTGGGTGGCAAGAACCCTTTCCTTGGTATTGCATACATAGTAGTAGGCTGTGTCTGCCTACTGCTCGGCATAGTTTTCCTGTTTATACACGTCAAATGTGGCAAGAGGTGAGTAAAAATTTCTAATAAAATATAGATGCAAAGTATACACTCTTCACCACCAGAATCATTATATAATGGTAGCTAACGAACCCTTTGAAGATGTGACAAAATTTAAATATTAGGGTATGACAGTAACAAATCGGACTTGCATTCATGAAGAAATTACACCATCTTCATATCCAGTTATGTCATCCAGAGAAGTTTGGCATAGCTGAACAAAGCATCAACATGGGCCAACATTTCCTGCTAAACTACACCACTGGCCAAGATATCCATGCACTGGTTTCATCCAAGAACAAAACATGTACTTCCTCTTGAAAAGATTCACTTCTTATAGCCCCAGCATTTATCCCTCCCTAAGTTCGTACTGTTCCGTCCTCAACCAAACCCTTCTCATTTCAATCCTGAATACGCAGAGAGCATATTCCTCTAAAACATTGGTATATAAACATAACATTTCATGGTGTGCCCATGCAGAAGATCATAATTGAACCCTATCATCGTGACATTGTAAAAATGTACACTGCAGTAAGTTGTGTTATGCAAGAAAATATAAATTTCCAGTTTCTTTAGTACGCACTGGTTTAGAAAGATACGTAACAAAGGTTTAAACTATTTGGTGGTCGTAGTTTGTCAAACCTGCCTGAAGTGTTGGCTGTGTGTGTGGATGAATCAGATGCTTGCCAACAGTTTCTTGAGGCATATGTTGATAATTGTGTTGGCAGCACCACAGAGATGATCAACGTGAATCCTCGCACCCCTTATCAATAGTTTTGTCAGCGGACACCAGGGCATTCTGACTGAGTCATCATTATTAATAGTAAGTAGTTGTATTGATGATGTTTCATTGTGGAAGATGAATGTGGCAAGCACTATGGAAGACTACAAAATTCATAGATTCTCATATAGTCTTACTATGTATTGTTTTAAAGGTCCGTTAATAAATTGTCTGTCTCCAGTGTGTCAGTGATTTGTTGCATGTGTTCATTAAGTAAAAGAACTCTGCTATATTTGTCATGGTGCATGTAGTAGGGTAACTGCTATACACAGTTATCAAAGATCTAGAAGTTTGCCATTTTGATAATTTGTTTGTTAATTCTTCTCGGATGCATGTATTATTCAGTTTGCTTCAGTAATCATTTACAATTCATTCACCTCCTTCATGATCGCACATATTGTATGTAACTCCCCCCCCCCCCCCCACTTAATTATAGTTGCGTTATCTTTCATTTGTTGGTTGGTCCACCAAATTTAAGTTTTCCTGCAAAGTCATATTATGTTCAACATTATAATCCATTTTGCCATATCTGCAACTTAACTGCAGCACTTCTGTTGTTGAAGTAAACTGTTCCCGAGATCAGGGTGGTCCAGGCCAGAATAGTTTTACTGTTAGACCCAAGGGCCAAGAAACCACTACTGTCACTATTTTTGCATTGTCGTCATCGTTAATAATACTCATTCAGAAATGACAAATTACCATAGCATATGCTGAAATATAAATTTTATTTGAATATGCACAAACTACTACAGAGTTGTATATTATTTTAAATTTGCTTCTTTAACAATTATTTTTAATAAATTGCTTGCACTAACTAGTAAAAAATAACAAATATTTTCGCGGGCCAGATTATAAGTGGTTGCAGGCCGCCAGTTGGACCACGCTGCCCTAGATGATGGAAAAAGGTAATTTGGAATTTAATGTTGCTATTATGCTGTAAACTATTCAGAAACATTTTAAGATGTCAGATATGGCTTCCCACTGCAACTCACTTACCATAGCAGATGAAAGCAGTATGTTCTTCTGAAATGTTGGTAATCACAAATAAGACTGCATGGTTTTATAATTCTGAACTCCCATTACCATGAATAACTCAAAACTCATATACAGTAGAGCTGGATAAAAAATTGTATATTTATAAATACATTTGGACATTACATCACCTGTTATGGAGACAGTCATTCCACTTACATCTTTGTAGATAAAACATGGCATCCAAATATATTTTGTATCTAACCTTTTAGAAGAGCTGATGTGATACTGGTAGTCGGCAGAAGTTGGGGTGAAACTCTTTAAGGAAGTTGAACATGACCAGAAAGGTGTGGCCATACCAGAAAAAAGAGTTTTTTTCACATGCCTCTCATTCCTCCCTTTGCCACTGTTCGTAATTTTGTTATCTTGTTACATTTGTAGTGTAATGTGCATGCAGTTTGTTTCGACTTTCATCCTGTGGCTAATAGTTGAACGTACCAAACAGTTTTAATGATCTTTGTGATGGTGTAATTCATTTTATGGTCATCATCTCCATGTGGGAAAATATATTGTATTTCATGATGAAATTCACAGTGAGGAAGAAATCTGTATTGATGATATTTTCCTTGTGCTTGTCTAGAGAGGTTATCGCAATTCCAGTGCTGGGCTGTATTCATTGCACCGGGTTCAGAGAAAATATTGACACAAATTTGATTTCACCATAGAATTTAAAGCTTTTGCTGTGCTAGTTCATTAAAATTGGCCAAATCGCACCAAAATTGTAATTATCACCATGTCACATATATCATACATGCTTTCATTATCATTAGAGCACAAAATGGGACCTCAAACCATAAAGGAGCCCTCTCAGTTTTTGAGCATGTTGATACTTTTCTTTCATTACAGATAAATATCAGCTGCAGAATTAACATGAGATTCAAGTTGAAGATCAGGCTCTCCTGAGTAAAATGGAAAACCCCTAAAGTGGTCTCAGTATATTGAACTTATTTATTACCTTGTCTTATTCATACAGGAAACTAATTTCTTTCTCTGTTTTGTTAATTTACAAATAACCTCCAACTATAAAAAATGAACAGGGCAAGTACACAGATTTTATGCCTTCTGTTAATCACCAGACCTTGTGCAGGAAAGAAAATTAGCATAACTCTTCCCAGATAATTGTAAATGAATAATCCTTCATGATGTGTTCACAACATGAATAGCAGCATAGAAACTATTAATGCATAAGTGACCTAGAACACCACATTTATATAAGAAATTCTTACTGTTTAGTGCAGTTCTGTGGTATAGATAATCCTGAAAGGTAGTAAATAACAGTTTTAATGTAGGAAAGTTAGACTGAACTGTATAAACTGAAATTTATGATGGAAGATACTTGACAACTTTGGAAAAACCAGCGTAAATACATGTAAACACCAAAGAGAAATACATATATTGAGAAGTGCATTTTTCTATAATGTTAGGAAAGGTAAAAATTGGTGGAACCATAAGACTGTAATGTTTTCAGAGAAAAAATTCATTTCAGAGTCAATTCAAGATTTCCTCATACCAATACTTGTTACATTTGATGTATGAATAATTTAAAACTACAATAAAATGATAATGTACTTGGTTTTGGGGCCAAATTATCACTGATCATAAACTCAAAGCTTGTTACTTTAGCAGGATTTAAAGTTCGCACAGTGATGAGTACAAGGTGGCTGTATTCCGGGTTGTAGCAATTGCCTTGTGATGGAGGCAGCAAGGACCTCTGAAACATTGGCAAACTTTTACCAGACTACACAGTGCTAGAATCCAAAGCCATCTTCATATTATTTGTAGTGGGCACTACATATATGACTGCTGTTTTCAGCCATCGTAACCATGTTCGTGTGATAAAAGGTGGCTGCCAAAATAATTTCATGTTACATTTTTTATACATTATGTTGTATGTGGATGTATGAAGTTTTTTTATTTATTACACACCTAATTCTGTGTTGGAGAGACACTTCTTTCCTGTGTGTGTACTGTACAGATGGAAAATTTTGGTGGTGAGATATATGGCCTTCACCTTGACTTGAATTTGTTTGTGTAGGTATCGATTTTTCTCTGTTCCATTCTGCGACAAATATCCGGTGTTTGTCTGTGAACTGATTAGGCCAGTAAATTCAGTGCAGTGAATGAGCCAATGTTGGCTGAGAGATGAACATAATTCTTGTCCTTAGGTTATCATAGCTTCTATAATGTATAGTTTTGATTTTGGAATAAGCTATAACCCCATCCAGACATGCACACTCATAATCACAACCGCAATCAACAGCATAGACAAGATGCTCCCACTAACAAAATCCAGGATGGTTTCTTGATCCTACACAAATGCCTTTTTGCAGAGTTTCCACACTATTAAAAGCAGACACTTAAGTTCCAGGTATGGTATGTGTCTCCCTGAGCCTTGTTAACCTAACCTCCAAAAGGCTGTTGTGTGGGATCAAACACCACCTTGAAATGCACTTTAAGAACATCAAATTGGTGTGCCACGTATTTATTCAAGATATAATAAATGCGATTTTAAAATTATCTGAAAAATATAACTTTAAATGGGGAAGCTGAAATTTGCATACATTTAAGTCATATGGAATATTATAAACGCACTGAGAAAGGTTACACAGTACAATTTCTAAATGTTTAAAGTTTAAATGCGTCATGTTTGTGTTTTATAATTAAAATATATAATATAATTCAGGTCTATACACAAACTTTATTTACAGATGTTAAAATTTAAAATTTGCGCTATTCATCGTTACTACGATGTTACAATACTGCGCCTTCATTTACTACATGTTTCGATGCGTAG